CACTCCATCTCCACCCCAGCCCCCACTCCACCGCCACCCCCACCCCCAGCCCCAGCCTCCACCCGCACCCCCACCCCCAGTCCATCCCCCCCCAGCCCCACTCCATCCCCACCCCCACCCAGCCCCACTCCATCCCACCCCCCCACCCCCGCTCCCAGTCCCCACTCCATCCCCACACACACCCCCAGCCCCACTCTACCCGAACCCCACCCCAGCCCCCACTCCATCCTACCCCCACCCCCGTTCCCAGCCCCCCCATCCATCCCACCCACCCCCAGCCCCACTCCATCCCCACCCCCACCCCCACTCCATCCCCAGTCCACCCCAGCCCCCACTCCATCCCCACCCCACCCCGCTCCCAGCCCCCACTCCATCCCCACCCCCACCCACAGCCCCCACTCCATCCCCACCCCCACCCCAGCCCCACTCCATCCCCACCCCAGCCCCCACTCCATCCCCACCCCCATCCCAGCCCCCACTCCATCCCCACCCTACCCCCAGCCCCCACTCCATCCCCACCCCACCCCAGCCCGCACTCCATCCCCACCCCCAGCCCCACTCCATCCACCCCCACCCGCAGCCCCACTCCATCCCCCCCCCACCTCCACCCCAGCCCCCACTCCATCCCCACCCCACCCCCACCCCAGACCCCACTCCATCCCCCCCCCACCCCAGCCCCCAATCCATCCCCACCCCACCCCCACCCCCAGCCCCCACTCCATCCCCACCCCCAGCCCCACTACATCCCCACCCCCAGCCCCCATTCCATCCCCACCCCAGCCCCCAGCCCCCCAACACCAGCCTCCACTCCCCACCCCAGCCCCCACCCCCAGCCCCCATCACCAGCCCCCAACCCCCCAGCTCCCAGTCCCCACACTCTGCCCTGCTCACACCCCTCTCACTCTCCCCGCACTCCCCTCTCACACTCTCTCTCCCCCCATTCCCATTCTCACTCTCTCCCTCACTTTTTCCCCCACATCCCCTCTCACTCTCCCCCTCACTCTCTCTCTCCCCCCACGCCCCTCTCTCTCTCCTCACCCCCTCTCACTCTCTCTCTCCCCCCACTCCATCACTCTCTCTCCCCACGCCCCCTCTCACACTCTCTCTCTCTCCCCATGCCCCTCTCACACTCTCTCTCTCCCCGCTCCACCTCTCACTCTCTCTCCCCATCCATCTCTCTCTCCCCACGCCCCTTCTCACTCTCTCTCTCTCCCCCTGCAACCCTTCTCACTCTCTCTCTCCCCCCACTCCACCACTTACCCTCTCTCTCCCCCCACTTCACCTCTCGCTCTCTCTCTCCCCACACCCCCTCTCAATCTCTCCCCCCCACTCCACCTCTCGCTCTCTCTCTCCCCACTGCACCTCTCACTCTCTCTCCCTCTCCCCCCACTCCTCCTCTCACTCTCTCTCTCCCCCCCCACTCCACCTCTCGCACGCTCTCTCCCGACGCCCCCTCTCACTCTCTCTCCCCCCACTCCACCTCTCACTCTCTGGCTCCCCATGACCCCTCTCACTCTCTCTCCCCCCACACCCCCTCTCACTCTCCTCACTCTCACTCCCTCTCTGTAGACCATGTCACTCCTCTGATGCTGATGGCCTGTGGTGTAGGCTCGGAGCCTGGGGCCTGGGCTGGGGGTGTCCCGGAGCCTGGAGAGGCCTCAGTGGGTGCTGTGGGTGAGTTGCTGGGCCAGAGAACCAGCCTGGAGTCCCAGACGGAGCTGAGAGGGGAGACAGCCCTGCACCTCGCCTGCCGCTTCTCCCAGGCTGGAGTCGCTCACCGCTTGCTGGACCTGGGAGCCGACACCAACAGCCGCGATCACTGGGGCCGCACAGCCCTGCACAGCGCTGTAGGGGCCGATGCACTGCACATCTGCCAGGTACACGAGAAATGGGAATAAAAGACCGCGGACAACCTTCTAGTTCACCTTCCACTGTCCTGGCGGTCACAGGCCACATGTCCCAAACAACCAATGTACCATATCCCATAACTACATCTCTGTAGAGTGTAGTGACTGTAGCTCAGTGGTTAAGAGCACTTGCCTCGCAAGCGAGAGACCTGGGTTTGATTCCCGGGCAGGGTGAAACGCTGGGCACGTTTAATTACTCCAGACACACACCTCTGTTTACTGAGCAGTAAGTAGGAACCCGGTTGTTAGTCGATTGATGGATGGCTTTTCCGAGGGTAATAATTCCTTCAAAATAAATAAGAACAATAATAAATTGGTCGCTCAATCCACGACTGTTTATGGGACATTGCCTTGCTGTGCCCGATGGGCTGCCTCATTTCGCCCACACTATTTATAGTCGATTCGCTTTACAGTATATCGTGCGAAGCGCTTTGAGATGTCTCATGATCTAAATTGTTTACCTGCTTTACAATCTTAAAGACAGCGTACCTCATATCTCCTCTCAATCTGCTCTTTTCTAAGGGAACAAACTTCTTGGCTACACAGCGTTTAATCCACACCAGGGCTCAGGCCAACACCCAGCCTGACCCACACCCAGCCTGACCCACACCCAGCCTGACCCACACCCAGCCTGACCCACACCCAGCCTGACCCACACCCAGCCTGACCCACACCCAGCCTGACCCACACCCAACCTGACCCACACCCAGCCTGACCCACACCCAGCCTGACCCATACCCAGCCTGACCCACACCCAGCCTGACCCACACCCAGCCTGACCCACACCCAGCCTGACCCACACCCAGCCTGACCCACACCCAGCCTGACCCACACCCAGCCTGACCCACACCCAGCCTGACCCACACCCAGCCTGACCCACACCCAGCCTGACCCACACCCAGCCCGACTCACTCCCCACCTGGTCCAGGCCCAACCTGTTGGATGTTTTAGCGCATCCAACCCTCCTGGCCTGTCCTGGTATCTCTGAGAATCAAAAATTAATCTCCCGGACGGAAACCACCCCAAGTGATCGGGGAGGAAAATCGCACGGAAATCTCAAGCTGAATATTGAAGGGCTGTTTGCGGGACGCTGCTGTGCGCAATTGGCTGCCACATTTCACCCACAAAATACACAGTCACTGCATCTTACAGTACAACCCATGAAGCTCTTTGAGACATCTGTATGTCGTGATGAGGCACTATATCAAATTCAAGGATTATTATTATCAATCGGGATGGCCACATCATAGAATACAATCATAAAATCATAGAATATGACAGCACAGAAGGAGGCCATTTGGCCCACCGAGCTACCCAATCAGTCCCACTCCCCCGCTCTTTCCCCACATCCTTGCAAATGTTTCCTTTTCAAGCGCTTATCCAATTCCCTTTTGAATGCTGTTATTGAATCTGTTTCCACCCTATCAGGCAGTGCAGCCCAGACCCTAATAACTCTCTGTGTAAAAAAAAAATTCTCCTCATCTCCCCTCTGGTTCTTTTACAAATTATTTCAAATCTATGTCCCCTGAAAGAAAAAAGTTTCTCCCTATCAACTCTATAAAATACCCTCATATTTTGAAAACCTCTGTTAAATCGCCCATCAATAATTCTTACTGTGTATAATAGTATATAATAAACCTTGCATTTGATATAGCGCTTTTCACGTCTTTGAGATGTCTCAAAGCGCTTTCCAGAATATATTGTCAAATGAATTGACTATATTTGTAGGTGAAACGTGGCAGACAATTGCACTGCACACAGTTGTGGAATGAAGTGACCAATTTTATATTTTTTTTCTTGAGGGATTATTATCAGGCGTGTGGAGTAAGGAAACTTACCCAGAATTTCAGCCTGTCCAGAAATCAGACCCAGCTCTCTCGCTTGCGAGGCGAGTGCTCTACCCACTGAGCTACAGGACCACCTTCTTCCACCTCCATCACATGGCCTACCTCTGACGATACCTTACCCCAAACGCAGCCGAAACCCTTTTGCATGTGTTCCACTGGTTCCCCATCACTGAACTGATCAACTTCAAGATCCTGACTCTCATGTTCAAATCCTTTCACTCTCTGGCCCCTTCCCACCTGCCCGACCCCCTCACTCCCCACCTCTCCGACCCCCTCACTCCCCACCCGGCACCTCCGCTCGACTGGCACCAACCTCCTGCTCATCTCTCGCACCCTCCGCCCCACAATCCGAGGTCGCGCTTTCAGCCACCAGGCCCCGAAACTCTGAAAAACTCTCCCTTAATCCCTCCGCTTTGCCCCTCTCTCCCATTTTTCAAGTCCCCCCTTAAAAACTTTCTCTTCGACCATGTTTATGGCAACCACACCCCACCGGCTCAGAGTCAGGCTCTGCCACTGTTAAATGCTCTGAGATGCTACCGTGCAGAGGGCGCTATATATGTGCAAGTTGTTGTTGCTGTAACTAGTAGTAAGTAGCAACCGATTGTCCAGTTTTAGTCGATTGATGGATCGCTTTTCCGGGGGTAATAATCCCTTAAAAAGAAAACAATGATTTGGACTCAATCCACCACTGTTTGTGCACAATTGGCTCCCACGTTTCACCCACAAAATATACAGTATATTCTGTGTTCATATTGAGAGGTCATAAAGATGTGATAATGTGCCATATCAAATATCAAAAGGATTGTTATGTTATGACCTGAGCCTGACCTTGTAAAACTTTTTTCACAGATTCTCATCAAGAACCGTTTGACGGAGCTGGATGCCCGGACCCAGGATGGGACCACTCCCCTCGCCCTCGCTGTGCGCCTGGAGCACAGCGAGATCGTGGATGAGCTCATCAACTGTGGGGCTGATGTCAATGCCACTGACAAACAGGGTAAGTCCCTGTCAGGAATTTGTCCCGTGCTGAGGGTTGGGATCAGAGAGGGCAGGAGGGCAGGGAGAGTGGGGGTGGGAGGGTGACCGAAGACACAGTTGAAGAGGAGGGTCTTGAGATGGGCCTTGAAGTAGGCTAGGAAGGGTGTGAGGCCAAGGGACTGTGGGATGGAGTTCCGAAGGGTGGGGTTAGAGAGGCTGAAGCCCGATTGCCAATGGTGGGCTGGAGCAGGCTGAGCGGGGAGAGCAGACAGGTCTGCATGCAGTTAGCAGATCACAGAAGTAGGGAGGAGCAAGGCCGAAGATGAGGACGGTAACCGTGGGTCTCCTCGGAGCTGAAGAAGCTCCAGGGAGACGTGTTTGGCAACGGAATGTCAGAATCGGGCCAGCTATCTGTGACGGTCTTTATTCCAGTTCCTGAGCCAGGCGGGTCCACAGTGTGATGACAGCAGGACCTGGAAGGGCAGACCAGTCATGGGGGCAGGGAATCCTACACTCAGCTCCTGTTAACCCCGCAGCCAAAGCCCTATCGGGTCGGGTGGTCCTGGCTGGACAAGCAGCGGGAAAGCTGGTCAGATAGTGATATCAATGGCATTATGTGGTATTAGCTGGTTAGACTCCAGCAGTTACAACACACACTCTGGGGTCCCCCAAGCCTTGGGTCTTGCCAACCTGCCCCTAACCTGATCCTCTCTGGTTCAATTCACAGGTAAATCCTCTCTGCACTGGGCGGCTGCGGTGGACAATGCGGAGGCTGCTCTGTCCCTGCTCCAGCACGGCGCCAACCCCAACTTGCAGGACCTCAAGGTGAGCGTTGGGGGGAGCAGGAGAGGGGGAAGTGGGTCGGGGGGAAGGCGGTGAGAGTGGGTAGGTGAGTGGGGAGGGATGAGGGAGGCGCTGTGGCCTGAGTTTACGCTCTCATGTCGACTGCTCCACTGCCTCCTTCCCCGTTTCCCCAACTCCAACATCTATAAACTACAACTGATCCAGAATTCCAGCACCCGCGCACTCACCCACACTAAACTCCGTGCAATCATCACCCCAGTCTTCATGAGGCTCCTCTGGCTTCCTATCACACACAATAACTCCGTACCCACATCACCCCAGTCCTCACCAGGCTTCTGTGGCTCCCTATCACTCATCTACAAATCAATCCATTCCCTGGACTACCCTATCTCTGACTTGCTCACTCCCCACTTCACCAGCTGCTCGGCTGGCTCCGGCCTCCTGCTTGTCTCCTCGTCCCCTCCGCTCCATCATCGGCGACCAAACTTACAGCCACTAAGCCCCAAAACTTTGGAACTCTCCCTGAATTGCTCCGCCTTCCCCTCCTTTAGTTCACGACTGAAGACGGTCCTCTTCAACCATGCCTACGGTCACCTCCCCCTCAGCCACCGGCTCTGCCACTGTCAAGTGCTGCAAGACACGAAGGGCGCTGTGTAGATAGATGCAAGTGGCGGTTGTTGTTGTTGTTGATTATGCCAACTCCATGCTTGTCGGCCTTCCCAACTCTTCCCTCCACAAGATCATCGAGAATTCTGCAGCTCGTGTCCTCTCCCGCACCAGGCTGTTGTGACCCCATCACCCCCACCCTCGCCCGCCTCCACTGGCTCCCCATCCCCCAGATGATACAGTTCAAAATCCACGTCCTCAACTTCAAAGCCCTCAAGGGCGTCGTTCCTCCCTACCTCTGTGACCTGATAACCCCATATCAGCCTGTCTGCTCCCACCGCTCAGCAGGCTCCAGCCTGTTCTATGTCTCCTGCCCGCCCACCCCACCCTTGGCAGTCAGGCTCTCTGCCCGCACCCTCCCTCAAGGCAAGCCTCAAGACCCACCTCTTCGACTGTGCCTTCGGCAGCCCTCCTACCCAATTCTGCCCTCCCTGATCAGTGCCTTGGGACGTCCTCCCGGCATTAAAGGCACTTTAATGCAATATTGTATTCTATTTTGTATTGTGATTGAAGGGGTATAAATTCAGAACCAATTGATGCAAACGCTATTTCAATGAACGAGTAGTGGAATCTGTGGAACAGGCTCCCCCTGGAGATGGTTGAAGCAGGAAGTGTTGATACTTTCGCACAGATTAAACAGTTTTCTTTCAGGAAATAACATTATGGGATATAGAACATAAGTTGTTTGGGACATGTGCATGAGACCGCCAGGAAGGTGGAAGGCGAACTAGATGGACCTTCGTCTTTATCTTCTGCCTACTTCACGTCCCCCGCCTTGCCCTCTCTGCCACCACCCTCTGGAACTCCATCCCACAGTCCCTCCACCTCGCCCCCTCTCTTGCCTCCTACAAGACCCGTCTGAAGACCCTCCTCTTCGACCGTGCCTTCGGTCACCCACCTACCCCTACTCTCCCCCCTCCACCCCCCTGATCCCAACCACCAGCTTGGGTGCGGATCCCTGACTGTCCAGCGCCCTGGGACGTCCTCCTGATGTGAAAGGCTCTGTGTCAATGTCATTTGGTGTGTTGTTGTTGTTGTGTGTAACTGGCTCTCCTCTCTCTCTCTCTGGGGGTAATGACAGGGGGAGACTCCGCTGTTCACCGCCGCTCGGGAGGGCAGCCTGGAGACGGGGCGAAGACTGCTCAGCTACGGGGCCAATAGGGAGCTGCCGGACCACCTGGGCCGGACCCCTGGCAACGTGGCAGCCGAGAGAGCCCATCATGACCTCGAGCAGCTACTACAGGAGCACAGCCCAGAGCAGGCCACAGCCAGGGTCTTTCCCTGCCCTCCCATCCCCGCCCTTAACCCGGGCCTCCACCCCCCGCACAGTGGGAGGAGGCCTGGAGCCAAGGCCTCCAGTGAGCGGGAGACACAAGGCCTTAGCGCCCAGGCTCACATACACCTGAGCCACACTCCCTGCCAGCCTCAGGCTCACGTCCCGACCGATCTCTCTCCCAATTACTGTCAGGCCTACTCTGGCCTGGTCTATGCTGGACACTTGCCCTCAGGCGCCGGGCACTGCTGGCATGGGGGAGGGGATAGAGTGACGGACCGACCCTCAGGCCTAGGGGGAAAATTCCTGGTGGGGACCGAGTGGGGGGCAGGCGGGCAACAGGGGCAGAGACACACCCCTGTATCTGGCACCCACTCCAGGTCCCCCCACACTACCTGCTCCCGGCACACGCTCAGCTACCATCCCACCTGCTCCCGGCCGGAGAAGGGGTCAGGGGGGCCGGGCTCTACCCCACGTCTCACGCCTATCAGAGCTGTCCTTCCGACACCGACACAGAGCCTCCTCCGCACTTGCTCCTCCTCACGCCCTCCCCACAGTCACTCGATGCATGGTCGAGCCCCTCTCCTGACCCGAACCAATCTGTCTGGTCCACTGGTGTACCCAGTCCTGGCTCGTAGCCAACCATAACAAATTACACTTGTACAGCGGCCGTCATGTCGGAAAGATGTCCCAGGGCTGGACGGTCAGCTTTTTTTGGACCCTAGCTGGGAGATCGGGGTGGGAGAGGGTGAATTTGGGAGAGTGGCCGAAGGTACGGTCGAAGAGGAATGTCTTTAGATGGGTTTTGAAGGAGATAATAGAGAGGGATGAGGCGGAGGGATTGCGGGATAGATTTCCAGAGCTGCTGAATGTCCGACCATCAATGGTGAGCGGGAAGTGCTGTGGACCTGGAGCAGGCCGGTGCGGAGGGAGCGGACAGGCTGATATGGGGATTGGGTGGTGGGAGTGTTTGGTGGGGGGCATTTGGTGGGTGTGGACAGTGCCAGTGTGAGGGGTGGGGAGCACATTGAGAACACAGTGAGGGGACACCGTCCTTCGGTCGAGACGTTAAACCTTAGATCGTGCCCGAAGACCTTCCTCTTCGCCCGTGCTTACGGTCACCTCCTCCCCCCCCGTCTCACTACGGCGGGGCATCAGGCTCTGCCACTGTTAAACACCCTGAGACACTGTCCTGCTTGAAGGGCGCTGTGGAAACGCAGTTTGTTGTTGTTCCCTGTCCAGGCGGACGGTAAACATAAGCGAAGCTATCGGGGGAAATGAGAAGGGAGTTTCTCTCCCACGGGGTCCTGCCCGTAACAAAACACCTCTCTGCTCTTGCGTCCTGTTCTGCATTTGCTGACCAACACACCGTATCCAACCTGGGAGTGTGGATGTCGCACAGTGTAGAGGGAGCTTTACTCTGTCTCTGACCCGTGCTCTGGCTGTCCTGGGAGTGTGGATGGAGGGTATGAGATAGATGGACGTTTGAAGTAAGAGTAGCCATAAAGAGCAATCAAAGGAGGAACATTTCTCTCTCCTGTTATATCACCCGCGGCCAATAGATGGTGATGCTTCCCCGTGTTACAGCATCTCACCCTCAGCACCTCCTGGGTTATATTTACCAGTTATTTACCCACTGACCTGTTATTTACCCTCTGACCTCTGCTCAGAGCTAAGCTTTGACTCACTATTTACTGAAATGTATTTAATGTATTTATTGTTGATTGCCTCCTCTCCTCCCCTGTCTCTCTCTCTCTCTCTATCTGCTATGTTAAAGCTATGGTGATGTGTGTATGATCTCCGCGGTGTGAGGTGACAGGTGACACTGTCCGCTGTGAACTCTTCACTTATTAAACCATAAAAACTACCGACAACCGTATTAATCCCGTGTACTGTGTATATTAGCTCCGTGGTTAGAGCGCTGGCCTCACAAGCGAGAGACCTGGGTTCGATTCCCGGCAGCGCGAAGCATTGGGCAAGTTTTCTTCCTCCACACACATGCCCTTGTTTACCCGGCAGCAAGTAAGAACCTGGTTGTTAAGACGATTGGTGGATCACTTTTCCGGGGGTAATAATCCCTTACAAATAAAAATAATAATTTGGTCACTCAATCCACGACTGTTGGACGCTGCTGTCCACAATTGGCTGCCGGGTTTCGCCCACAAAATATACAGTCAATTCACTTTACGGTATATTCTGTCAAGCGCTTTGAGTCTCTCGAAGACCTGATAATGCGCTATATCGAATGCAAGGATTATTTATGTAATAATGATTATATCTCACATACATATATCTGCGTATCTCAGACTATATCGCAAAACGGGTACCAACACCTGCACAAGCTCCGTCTGTGCTCCGTCTGTGCCCGAGAGTGAGATCTCTCGCCGCGCTATTGAAAAAGAGAAAAGAGTTCCTCTCTCTCCCCAGTGTCCTGACCGACAATCCCCCCCCAGATAAAATGGGTCACTCGCTCCATGGCTGCTTGCGGGGACCTCCCTGTGTGCAAATTGGCTGCCGCTTTCCACCCACTAAACACAGAAAGGTGCCAAAGCAAAGGTAAGGATTAACATTTACTGTTTTATTTGTATCTTCAAATTAAGCTGCTGCGCTGTGTGGAACCAGTGGAGCCGGGGGTTGGGGCGAGGGTGAGAGGGCTGGATGGAGGAGGGGAAGGGCAATGGTGGGGGGGTGTGGGGGGTGACATTAGAATTGGGTTCCTGGCAGGATGTGGCCTGTGTCAGGGTCACAACCACCAGAAACACAGGAGAGCAGTGATGAGACACAAGCCGGAGACGGCAGCTTTGGTGTAGATCCTCCGCGGAGTAGGAGAATGGGGGTCTCGGGGGAGGGGCTCTGTGGCGTGGAGGTCTGGGCAACGGAGGCTGAGCTGGGGCTTCCCCGACTGGACGGACATGTGTTTTCTGTTTTTTGTGTTCAGCTCTGAGAGAGAGAGAGAAAAAGCAATAGGTGAGCATGGCATCACTGGCATGTGAAGTGACTATGTGCTTTGCCGGTAAATGCGGCAGCTCAGTTGCCGCATGACAACATTCCCGCAAACAGCCATGGAATTGAGCGACTGCTTTTATCTCCTGACGTGAAAGGCGCTGTAGAAATATAATTTGTTGGAGGATTGTTAGCCGGGGGGCGAACTTTGTGCGCAAACTGTCTGCCGCATCCACTCGCATCACACACAGTCACTACAGTTCACAGTAATAAAGGGCAGTGTGAGGGGTGAGGGGGCAGGTTGAGGTTGACGGTTTCGCTTGAGGGTTGAGATTGAGGGGGAGTTGAGGATTAGTTGGAGATGTTGAGGGTTGGGTTACGGATTGGGTTTGAGTTTGTTGCTGAGTTGGGGTGTTGAGGTTGGCGTTGGGGGAAGTTGAGAGGGGGGTTTGGTTTGGGGTCTCTGACCTGACAGGCCCTCTCCTCGCTGAAGGACCTCCTCGAGGGTGGTGACCAGGACACTCTCCAGATCAGGCATCACCACCAGACTGCGTCGGGACCAGGAGTCACTGTAGGTCTTCTTCAGCTTCTGGATATACGTGTCTGGTGAGAGAGAGGGGGAGCGGGAGGAAGAAAGGGCGAAGAGAGGAGAAGGGAAAGGGAGAGTGGGTAAGGGGGAGAGGGGAGAGGAAACAAAGTTAGGAGAAAGGTGGGTGAGAGAGAAGGAGAGGGTGTGAGAGAGTGGAGAGAGAGAGGGTGGGGGAGGGTAAGATACAGATAGGAAATCAGACAAGGGAGACATGAGAGGGGTGAGGGGGAGAGTTGAAGAGGGGTGGGGGTTATTGGGAGGAGAGAGGAGCGAGAGCAAGGGAGGGGGAAGAGAGATGGGGAGGATGGAAGAGAGAGGGAGAGAAGGGAGGGAGAATGAGGGGGGAAATGAGAGAGGGAGGGTTACGATAGAAAGAAGAGAGATAGAGAGTGGGAGGGTGATAGTGGGAGAAAGAGAGTGGAGAGACAGAGAGGGAGGGAGGTAGGGAGAGAGGGAGGGCGGAGAGAAAGAGTGGGTAGAGAGGGTGGTAGAGATTGTAAAGGATCAATAGACAGCCTGATGCCTGAGCCCCTCTCCTTCGTCTTCGCTCTTCCCTCCTTCTAGGCCCGTCTCAAGACCTTCTTCAATCTTCCTCTTCGACCTTGGCTCCCATTTCCCCTGGGGTGGCTGAGAGACTAATCCCAGCCACTGTCTCTCTCTCCCTGTCTTCCTCTCTGTCCCTCTCTCCCCCGCCTCTATCCCTGTCTATATCTATTCCGCCCCCATCTCTCTCTCCCCCACCATCTCTGTCTCCTCATTTCTCCTCCCGCCTCTCGCTCCCTGTCTCTCTCCCCCCCGTCTCTCTCGCCATATCTCTCTCTCCGTCTCTCTCCCCCCCGTCTCTCACTCCCCATCTCTCCCCCGTCTCTCTCCTCCCCGTCTCTCTCATCCTGTCTCTCACTCCCCATCTATCCCCCGTCTCTCTCCTCCCTGTCTCTCTCACCCTGTCTCTTACTCCCCATCTCTCCCCCTGTCTCTCTTTCCGTCTCTCTCTCTCTCCCCCCCCCGGTCCTCTTCCCCCCATCTCTCTCTCTCTCCCTTTCTCTCACTCTCCATCTCTCTCTCTCCCCCGTCTCTCTCCCCCGCAGTCTCTCTCTCTCCCCCGGGATCACTCACCGAATTCGATGAAGACGTAGGGCCGGGTGACAGCCGGAACCTTCCGCAGGTGCAGTTCGCTGAACTCGGCCTCCAGCCCGGCCAGGAAGGAGAAGGCGTTCCTGTGGCTGAACCTGGCCTCGCACAGCGTCAGGTAACAGATCCCCCCCGCTGTCAGGCAACTGGCCAAGGGCAACCAGGGTCAGTACAGGAGGTCAGTACCGCCAGGAACAAGAGTCAGTATAGCCAGCAACAGGCGGTCAGTACAGGCAGCAACAGGCGGTCAGTACAGCCGGCAATGGGCAGTCAGTAATAATAATAATAATAATAATAATAAACCTTGCATTTGATATAGCGCTTTTCACGTCGGGAGGACGTCCCAAAGCGCTTCACAGAACACACTGTAAAGCGAATTGACTATATTTGTGGGCGAACGCGGCAGCCAATTGCGCACAACAATGTCCCACAAACAGTCGTAGATTGAAAATGACCAATTTATTATTGTTTTGGGTTTTGGAGGGATTATTATTAGGCTCTGTGTGGAGTAAGGAAACTTGCCCAAGGTTTCGCCCTCTGCCTGGAATTGAACTCAGGTCTCTCACTTGCAAAGCGAGTGCTCTAACCACTGAGGTACAGGACTCCACAACAGTACAGACGGACACAGATGGTCGGTACAGCCGGTCAGTACCGTCCCAGTCACAGTTGACAACACAGATACTGTCACCAGGTACAGGCACACATCTTCACCATCACCCCACACACCCCCCCACCCCGCCCCGCCCCGCTCCCTTCTCGCGGTACCTACTGGAAGGTGTAATCTCCGGCCTCCAGGGAGCAGCGAGCCGGCGAGAGCTCATTCAGTTTGTGGACAAGTTGCTTTGCCTGAAGCTGATATTGCTGTAGATTCCTCCCCGACTGTCGGACACACACACACCACAGCTCAGTGACTGACACACACACACACACACACACCGCAGCTCAGTGACTGTCAGACACACAACACAGCTCAGTGACAGTCACACACACACACACCACAGCTCAGTGACAGTCACACACACACACACACCACAGCTCAGTGACTGTCAGACACACAACACAGTTCAGTGACGGTCAGACATACACACACAACACAGCTCAGTGACTGTCACACACACACACACCACAGCTCAGTGACTGTCACACACACACACCACAGCTCAGTGACTGTCACACACACACACCACAGCTCAGTGACTGTCACACACACACACACCACAGCTCAGTGACTGTCAGACATACACACCACAGCTCAGTGACTGTCAGACACACACACACCACAGCTCAGTGACTGTCAGACACACACACACCACAGCTCAGTGACTGTCACACACACACACACACACCACAGCTCAGTGACTGTCAGACACACACACCACAGCTCAGTGACTGTCAGACACACACACACCACAGCTCAGTGACTGTCAGACACACACACCACAGCTCAGTGACTGTCAGACACACACACACCACAGCTCAGTGACTGTCAGACACACACACCACAGCTCAGTGACTGTCAGACACACACACACCACAGCTCAGTGACTGTCAGACACACACACACCACAGCTCAGTGACTGTCAGACACACACACACCACAGCTCAGTGACTGTCAGACACACACACCACAGCTCAGTAACTGTCAGACACACACACACCACAGCTCAGTGACTGTCAGACACACACACCACAGCTCAGTGACTGTCAGACACACACACACCACAGCTCAGTGACTGTCAGACACACACACACCACAGCTCAGTGACGGTCACACACCACACACACACACCACAGCTCAGTGACTGTCACACACCACACACACACACCACAGCTCAGTGACTGTCAACGACACACACCACAGCTCAGTGACTGTCAACGACACACACCACAGCTCAGTGGTGTGTCTGTGTGTGTGGCAGGCGGAGTGTGCGTGACAGGTGGAATGCGTGTGCGTGGCACATGGAGTGCATGGCAGGTAGACTGTTTGTGCGTGTGACAGACGGAGTTTGTATGTGTGTTACAGGAGGAGTGTGTTTGTGACAGGTGGAGTATGTGACAGGCGGAACGTATATGTGACAGGCGGAGTGTGTGTGTGAGACAGCCGGTGTGTGTGACACAGCCGGCGTGTGTGTGACAGACAGAGTGCGTGTATGACAGGTGAAGTGTGTGTGTGTGTGTGTGACAGTTGGAGTGTGTTTGTGTGTGTGAGACAGGTGGTGTTTGACTGTCAGAGTGCGTATGTGACAGGAAAATGTGAGTGTGTGACAGGCGAACTGTGCGTGTGACAGGTGGATTATGTGTGTGATAGCTGGAGTGTGTGTGTGTGAGCCACGCGCAGTGTGTGTGGGTGACAGACGGAATGTGTGTGTTTGTGTTACAGGTGGAGTGTGTGTGTGTGACGGGCAGAGTAGACTACGCCAGACTACGGCACTACCTCACCCCTCACGCTGCTGAAACTCTGGTCCACACCTTTATCCCCTCAAGGCTGGACTATGGGAACTCTCTCCTCGTCGGCCTTCCCGGCCCTCCCTCCACACTGCAGGTCATCCAGAACTCTGCAGCTCGTGTACTGTCCCGCACCAGACACCGCGACCACATCACTCCCACCCTCGCTCGCCTCCACTGGCTCCCCATCCCCCAGAGGATCGAATTCAAGATCCTCATCCTCACCTACAAGGCCATTCACGGCCGCGCTCCCTCCTACCTCTCCGACCTACTATCCCCCTACCTCCCTGCCCGTCCGTACCCTCCGTTCCTCTGACTCCGGTCTGCTCCACATCCCCCGCCCCAACCGCCCTACCATCGGTGGTCGGGCCTTCAGCCTCTCAGCCCCCAGGCTCTGGAACTCCATCCCCCAGTGCCTTCGCCGCTTCTTCCCGTTCCTCCTTCAAGGCCGGTCTCAAGACCTTTCTCTTTGACCTTCAGCCTTCAGCTCCGCTCTCGACTCTCTGCCCCCTCCTCACTCCCTCCCTCCCCTCCCCTCACCCTGACCATTTCCCCAATGCTCGGGTCCTGACCCAACTGTACAGCGCCTTGGGACATCCTCCCGACGCGAAAGGCGCTCAATAAATGGAATCTTGTTGTAGAGTGTGTGTGTAACAGGAGGAATGTGTGTGTGTGAGAGGTGGAGTGTGTGTGTTTGACAGGTGGAGTGCTTGTGTTTGACAGTTAGAGTGTGTGTGTGTGACAGGCGGAGTGTGTGTGTATATTTACCTGCTCGTCTTCCTGCATCGAGGCGGCCAGAGGCAGTCCATCAGCAACACGAGCGATGATCGTCAGCCAGATCATCCTGGAGAGCGGGAGTGTGAGAGAGAAAGAGAGAGTGTATGAGAGAGTGTGTCAGAGAGAAGAATATATGTTTGAGTGTGTCAGAGAGAACAAGAGTGAGAGCGTGTGTGGGAGAGTGAGAATGTGTGAGAGAGTGTGTTTGAGAGAGTGCATGTGAGTGTGTGAAAGAGTATGAGTGAGAGATAGCGTGAGAGGGAGTATGTGTGAGAGTGTGTGTGTGTGTGAGAGAGGGTATGCGAGTGAGTGTGTGAGTGTGTGTGAGATGGAGAGGGAAACGATGAAAGAGTGAAAATGTGTGTGTGAGAAATTGCATGAGTGTGTGAATGTGAGAGTGAGTGTGTGAGAGCGAGCGCGTGTATATATTTGTGTGAGAGACTATAATAGTGTAAGAGAGACCATGTCTGAGTGTGTGAGAAAGAGTGAGACAGTGTGTGAGAGAGAGTGAGACAGAGTGAGACAGTGTGAGAGAGTCGGTGTGAGAGAGAATGAGATATTGTGTGTGTGAGAGAGAGAGGATGAGACATTATATGTGAGAGAGACAGAGAGAGAGATTTACATCACACTCACAGAAAAAGAGAGAAGTGACCGGGTGACTGACACAGTCAGACAGACACACAGATAGAGGACGGACAGACAGACAGACAGACAGACAGACAGACAGACAGACAGACAGACAGACAGACAGACAGACAGACAGACAGACAGACAGCGCCACACCCACACAACCACTTGCTGTGAGTTGCAGCTCACACTCTGAGCCTCAGCCTATGTTTCCCCCTCAGTGCACTAACCTGCAGCCGTGACAGGACCTGAGGGAGGGCTCAGACAGGGTGTTTACTAACCCTGTGTTTGATGCAGCACCTTGTCAGGTAGGAACACCTCCAATCCCTCCACAGGAGGCTTCACTGAGAGGCGTAGTGACTGTATAATTAAGAACATCAGAATTTGCTGGCGAAAGAAGACCAAAGTCCATCCAGTTCGCCTTCCACCATCCTCCTGGCAGTCGCTTGTCATGTCATGTCCCAAACTCTACACTGTCTAACAGTGTATAAAGATATTATTTTCTGGCAGAAATTTGTTCTTGAAACAAATGACATTTTCGGCTTCCGCCGTCTGTCTCCCTCGGGAGCCTGTTCCACAAGTTCACTACTCACTCACTGAAGGAGGGTTTCCAAAGATTTGTTCCGAATTTACTCCCTTCAATCACAGGCCGTGTCCTCAGGTTCTACTGTTCAGGACAAGATAAAACAGTTGATCATGATCTACATTATCTCGTCCCATCAGAATCAGCATATTCAGAATATTTCCATATCTTCGAGGGGTGAGGAGGAAGTCGAGGTAAGCAGGGGGTCTCGTCGGAGCTGAACTGGCTCCAAGGTGACACGTTTGGCACCTGAATATCGTAATCGAGCCAGCCCTCCGAGAAGGTCTCTAGTCTTGTTCCTGGGCCAGGCACGTCCAGGCCACTGGGGGCACGGAGTCATCCCACTCAGCTCCTGTTAACTCTGCAAACTAAAGCCCTAAAGCATAGAGTGGTCTTAGCTGGACATGCAGTGGGAAAGCTCGCCAGACAGTGATATCAATGGCAAGCTACGTGATGTTAGCTGGTTGGACTCTAGCAGTTACCCCAACACACGCTCTGGGGTCCCCAAGCCTTGGGTTGTGATCTACACCTGACACTCTCTGTGGGATGAGGTAAGCAGGTGTGTCCCTCCAGAGAGAGCGAGAATATTCCATTCAATACATGGAAATTTCCATGTGTAGCTGGTTTGGAGAGTGTTAAGCAGAGCGATGGGTTCCAGTGTGCGTCAGACATCCGCTGAACAAGAAAAAGGGAATTTATTTTCACGGCAATGTCACACGAACAGCCATGGAGTGTATGACCAATCTATCTGGGGGATTGTTGGTCAAGACATCGGAGAGAGAGAAAGAGAGAGAGATTTCCTTCTTTTTTTAAATAGCCCCAAGAGAATCTTTCAAATTGTTTGCTGAAACAGATCAGATTTCAGCTTGTAACTCTCTCCCGGGATGTGTTATTCTATATATAACACACATTCCCCCCTCCCACCGGATCATCTCAAAGCGCTTCACAGGACACATTGTGAAGTGTAGTGACTGTGTATTTCGTGGACGAAATGCGGCAGCCACTTTACGGACAGCGACGCCCCCACAAACAGCCAGTGAGCTGGTGATATTTTCGGCCAGGACACTGGGAGAGAGAGAAAAACTCCCTTCTCTTTTCCAACAGCACCACAGGAGATAATAATCTTTCCATTTGATATCGAAACTTATCACGTCTTTGAGACATCTCGCAGACTATACTGTATATACTGAATTTAATGTGTGCTTCGTGGGCGAAACACAGCAGCCAACTGCGCACAGCAGCGTCCCACAAACAATCGCGGATTGAGTGACCCAAGTTATTGTCATTTTTAAGTGCGGGCCACTGCACTGTTCATAACCACAAAGCAAAACAAATCTGCAATCTTGAACATCCGCCTGAACGGTGCACAGACAGGGAGAGTTAGGTTTAACGTCTTGTCTGAAGAAGCTCTCCGAGACGTCCCCCCACTCGTGAGGGGCGCTGCGTAACCACAATTTGCCGTCGGTTTAAATAAGAACAAGGGATTTGCCTGTTGTGTGGAACAATAAAGTTTTATTGAAAAGCAATACGGTTATTTATTAGCAGCACAGAATGGTAGTTTATAAAGAGTGAAAGGGACCCAAACTCCGCACCGTCTCTCCCTCTCTCTGTGGGTGAACGCAGACACGGAATTCCCGGGAAAAATTATTCCGATCTCCCGGAAAAATGGCCTGCGCCTTTAATGGTGAGGGTACTCGCTTTCTCCCCTCCCTCTCACTCACTCACTCACTCACTCCCTCAATCAATCAATCAATCAATCAATCAATCAATCAATCAATCAATCAATCAATCAATCAATCAATCACACCCCTCTTCTAACTCTCACTCCCTCCCTCTCATTCGCTATTCCCTCACTCAATCCCTCCCTCCACCCTCACATTCCCTCCTCTCCCTCACTTCCCTCCCACTCATACTCATTCCCCTGCCTTTCACTCTCTCACTCATTCCTCCATCACTCACTCCTTCTCGCTCTCACAATCACTCATTCACACTTTCTCACTATATGCCCTCACTCCCCCACTCCCCCCTCACTCTCATTCCCCCTAAGTCTCACTCATTCCCCACTCACTCACTCCTCCTCATTCTCGCCCCTTCATCACTCACTTCCCCTCACTCACTGCCCCCTCACTCTCATTCACTCCCCCCCACCATCCGCTCTCACTCTCATTCGCCTCTCTCTCTCCCTCCCTCACTTCCCGGGTCTTTTAATGGAGAAGATTTCACTATCGGAAGGGGGGTGGGCGCGAGTGAAATGCAGCCAAGACTCACGGAGGGGAGGGGGAGAAGGGTAGAGGGGAGGGGAGACCGTTGAACAGACAGACAGACAGACAGACAGACAGACAGACAGACAGACAGACAGACAGACAGACAGACAGACAGACAGACAGACAGACAGACAGACAGACAGACAGACAGACAGACAGACAGACAGACAGGAGGGAGCCCGGTGAACACTCTTTACAAATCGTCTCTTGGCAAAAGAAGACATTTTTAAAACCCGGAAAAATATGGGAGTGGAGGCGTCGGGAGAGAGAGAGGAAACAATTTCAATCTTAAAAACTAAAACCACAATCACAATCCTCTGTCATTATCAAAGGTTTCCCCCTGTGGAGTGTGTGTTGCCTTCAAAAAAAATTATACATTCATATCAAAAAAAAGGGCGCGAAAAAAGTTAATAATACAGATCATGGGGGGAGTGGGGGTGTAACAGGCACAGGTAAAAACTTTTATAAGTTGTTCGGAGATTTCAATTCAAACCAAAACCATACTGACCTCGAATAATATCATCGATTGGGGACACCTTAAACCCACCCTTAATAATAATCACAATAATAATTCTTGCATTTCATACAGCACCTTATCACGTCATTGAGACGTCTCCAAGCGCTTCACCGAATATACTGTTAGGTGTAGTGGCTGTGTATTTTGTGGGCGAAATGCGGCAGCCATTTGCATACAGCAGTGTCCCACAAATAGTTGTAAATTAAGTGATCAAATTATTATTTCTTTATTTTTTGGAAGGGATTATATAACACCCGGAGAAGCAATCTGCCAATTGACTTAACAACCGGGTTCCTACTTACTGCTCGTGTGTGGAGTAAGGAAATTTGCCTAAGGTTTTGCTCTGCCCGGGAATCAAACCTGGGTCCTCTCGCTTGCGAGGTGCGCGCTCTAAATGCTGCACTCGGGGATTTTAGGCGCGTTTCGATAGGAAGGGGGAAAGAGAGAGGGAAGGAAGGAGCGATGGATGAAGATGAGCGACACTGGGCCAGGAAGGATGGCTTGTAGCTAAGAAAACATGAGTCAACGAAAAGGAGGGCGTTTTGGGTCTCACGGTGGAACACACGTCATCAGGCTGATCAATGTGAGGGCGGGGGGAGAAGGGGAGGGGAGGGGAGGCGGGAGAGACGCCAAGGCTAAGAGTAGGGAAATACAGTGAAGGCAGCGGAGCCCCTCCCCCACCCTGTTACCCTGTTTCTGGATGCACGTTTCTTTTCAAATCGAAGGAGAGACGGGAGAGAGAGAGGGAAGGTGTGGGAGAGAGGGGGAGAGAGAGAGAGAGAGAAGGAGAGGTGGGGAGGAGTGGGGGGTGGAAGAGAGGGAAGGGAAAAATTAAACAATTAAACATTTAATCCCCCCCCCTCCCCCACCACTACACACACGCGCACACACACGCGGAAAAATAGCCCCCCACCACCCCCCCACCCGCCCGCCCGCCCGCCCCCCGCTCACAATATAAACCTTTCAGCACCGCCTGCCACGATGCGGAGATTCGAACAATAATAATTAAAAAAAATTTAAAAATGAAGACAGAGACAGAGAAAAAAAAAACACAGAAAGTAAGCGTGAGTATTGCTCAGAGGTAGTAAGTGAGTGTATTCTACAGTCAGGGCAGAGGTGAGAATTCTATTGGTATTTTTTTTTGTGTGAGCTTAGCAATGAGGTAATAAAGCTTACATTTTTTCTTTATCGAATGCCTAAAAGTCATGTACAAATAATTCTCTCTACAGTATATACAACGTTATTACTCCCACACCCACCCACCCCATCCCTCCCCCCCCCACACTTCCCTCCCCGCCCCCCCCCCCCCCCCACCCTCACTCTCGTCTCTCGGGGGTGAGGTTAAAATTCAGCATTACAAACAGCTCGTAAAAACCCTGGTCATCATAAATGTTGTGCTGCCCTCACCCCCAACTTCCCCCAAACCCCATTTCCACCACCAACCCCGGAGTTAATATTGGATGGATTCCCCCCCTCCCACACGCGCGCGCACACGCACACACACACAACACCCTCCCCCGCAACCATCACCACCCACCCCTCCCCTCCCACTGCAGCCAAAAATACAAATCTGCTTTGTTTAAAAAAAACACACACACACTCCCCGAAAAGTAACCCGGACAGAGGACGAGAGAGAGAGAGAGAGAACAAAATAAAGGAGAGAGATTTGGTTTTTTTGGATTTGAACGCGGGGCTCGGGCTGACTCTGCTGGTGGCGACAGCCCCGTCACCTCAGCCTGGAACGGCGTGTCTCCATCCTCTTCCCCAGCCCAGCCCAACCCCCTGCCCAACTCACAGACAGCACAGCCCCAGCCCAGCCCAGCCCAACCCAGCCCAGCCCAGCGCCAACCCAGCCCAGAGCCAACCCAGCCCAGAGCCAACCCAGCCCAGAGCCAACCCAGCCCAGCGCCAACCCAGCCCAGAGCCAACCCAGCCCAGAGCCAACCCAGCCCAGCTCATCCCATCCCATCCCAACCCAGCACAGCCCAGCCCAGCACAGCCCAGACCAGCCGAGGGACAGACTAGACTGGCAGCCCAGCCTCCCTTTGGCTGCTGATGAGAGAGTTCAAAATGGACAGCCTATGTTTTCAGCTGCTGGTCTCCGGGCTGAGCTCGGCCACGACGTCGGGGGTGGGGGGTGGCGGGGGGGGGGGGAGGCAGAGAGTGCCAGGGCCTCAGTAACCTTTTGTGGGCCTGATGTCAAAAAAGATTTGTGCTCCAACTAACCCCCTCACCCCATGTCAGCCCGGCTCCCCCCACCCCTGGCTCCCCCCACCCCCGGCTCCCCCCACTCCCGCGCCCCCCCCCACTCCACCACCCACACAAACACTTTGGGATTGTGAGGTAATAGAGGCACCGGCCAAATTGTGTGGGGCATCACGTAGCCAATCACAGGTGGTTGCTCATGGCACCCAATCACAGTGGAGTGGCTCGGCAGCCAATCACCTGAGGGCGCTTGGCAGCTAATCACCAGATGGTGCTCTTGGCACCCAATCACTGGGGGCGTATGGGGGGGGGTGGTCCGGCAGCCAACCACAGTGGAGCTTGGCAGCCAATCAAGGGGGGGGGGGGCCCAGCCGTGACCCCAACAGGAGGGGATGGTTGATGTCATTGGCGTGTGGGTGAGCCGTGGCGGGTCCTCGCAGTGAGGGCGGGTGTCTGGGCGAGGCCTGGCGGGGAGGGGGTGGGGGGTGGGGAGGGGTGTGGGGGGGGGCGAGAGTTTCACAGTTATTACGGACACCATTTCCCCCCCACATCCCCCCATTTTTTTCCCCCGGTTAACAAAAAATTATTTGTTTTCCTCCCTCCCTCCTCTTCCTCCTGTGGGTGGGTCGGTGGGTGAGTCGGTCGTTGCTGGAGGAAGGCTCGGGCGGGGCAGGCGGGCGGGCCCATCAGTTGGAGGTGTCAGAGTGCACACTTCCGGGTGCTTCCGTGGGCGACGTGACCGAGGAGGGGGTGGCCGCGTCCTGCCAACCTCCGTTAGCCTGAGACACAGAGGAAAACCCACTGCTCACACCTGCTTTCATATCCCCCCCCAACCCTCCCCTCGCACCTCACCCCCAGCCCCTCCCCCACAGCCACTCCCACTACCCGCCGCCCCTCACCCCCAACCCCTCCCACTCCCTCCCAGCCCCTCCCACTCACCCCCAGCCCCTCGCCCCTCCCCCAGCCCCTCGTCCCCAGCCGTGCCTCCTCTCCCTCAGACCCTCCTCCTCTCCCTCAGCCCCTCCTCCTCCTCAACCCAGCCCCCCACTCCCCCCAACCCTTGCCCCCAGCCCCTCCCCCTCTCCCCCGCCTCCTCAACCCTAGCCCCTCCCCCTAGATGTAATTCATCACATCAAAGCTCGACTACGCCAGCGCCCTCCTTGTCGGCGTCCCCCCCCCCCCCAACTCTTCCCTCCACAGGCTGCAGATCATCCAGAGCTCTGAAGCTCATGTCCTCTCCCGCACCGGGCTCCGTGACCCCATCGCCCCCCCACCCTCGCCCCGGCTCCGCTGGGCTCCCCATCCCCCAAGGGATAGAGCCCAAAATCCTCGTCCTCACCTTCAAGGCCCTCCATGGTCTCGCTCCTTCCTACCTCTGTGACCTGCTAACGTCTTATCAACCTGTCCGCTCCCCCCACTCACTAGGCTGTGGCCTGCACTGCCCCCACCCTCTGGAACTCCCCTCACCCTCCACCCCTTCTGATCCCAACCCCCGGCTCTGGTGCAGATCCCTGACCATCCACCGCCTTGGGACGTCCTCCCGACGTGAAAGGTGCTCTATAAATGGAATCTTGTTGTTGTTGTTGTTGTTGTATTTGTTGCTGTCGTTATTACCCTCTCGCCACCCTCCGCCGACTTCCTCCCCACTCCCTCCCCACCCCCTCCCCCGCGCGCCCCCCAGTAGTTACGTACCCTGATGTCCCGCGGAGAGTACATCTGATTGGAGCTCAGCCCGTCTCCATAACCACCCGCCTGGCTCAGCGAGTGACGCAGGGATTCCACCTGTCACACACACACACACACACACACACAGGGCGGGGGAGGGGAGTAGATTGCTCACTATCACTGGTGTCAATTCACACTGCTCACCATCACACTTACTGCTCACCATCACGCTCGCCGCTCACTATCACGCTCGCCGCTCACTATCACTCTCGCCGCTCACCATCGCGCTCGCCGCTCACTATCACGCTCGCCACTCACCGCCCACCATCACCGCTCACTATCACCCTCACTGCTCACCATCACACTCACTGCTCACCATCACCACTCACCATCACCATCACCACTCACCATCACCCTCACCGCTCACCATCACCCTCACCGCTCACCATCACCCTCACCGTTCACCATCACACTGCTCACCATCACATTCACTGCTCACTGTCACACTCACTGCTCACCATCACTGCACTCCCGCTCTGCCCACCCCTGCACTGACCTGTGCCCCCTGGTACGTGTCGCCGTTTAACCCCTGCATGCCCATGAACATATCCCCGGAGCCCGATAGGTTAAAGGATCCCGAGGAGCCTGCGGGGCCAAAGCACAGGATCGGCAAACGGTTAGACCTCAATGGGATCAGGCAGGTCTCCATCACACACACAGCCCCGTGTCTCACACCAGCACACACACATCACACCACACCCTGCAGTGACTGACACCCACTGGTGATCACTGAGCACAGGCTCGGTCACTACTGTACAGGGGAGAACAAGAGGGGGGGGGGAAGAGAGGGAAGAGAGAGGGGCGGTGGGGGAGAGAGAGGGGGAAGAGAGAGGGCGCAGAGATTGAGAGAGGTGAGAGATAGAGGGGGAGAGTGAGGGAAAGGGGAGAGCAGGGGGAAGAGAAAGGGGGTGGGGGGAGAGGGAGAGAGAGGGGGAAAGAGGGACGGAAATGGGAGATGGGGGCAAAATGAAGGGGGTTGGGAAGGGGAGAAAGGGAGGGAAATTGGCATAAAGAGTGGAAAGCGGAGAGAAAGAGAGAGGGGAGAGAGGGAAGGGAGAAGGGCGGAGACAGAGGAAAGAGATTGGGACACCGAGACAGAGGGAGAAAGGGGAGAGGAAAGAGATATGAACGGGAGAAGAGATGGGGGGTACAGAAGAAAGAAAGAGATGGGGAATGGGAAAGGAGAGATGGAGGGAGAGAAAAACACACACACAGGGGGGTTAAAGGGAGAGACGCAGAGAAAGGGACCCACAAGGGGGTAAGAGAGAAAGAGAGGTGGGGAGTGAGAGGGACGAGCGAGAGGAAGAGAGTAAGATGGCGGAGAAAGAGAGAGAGAAAGATGAGACAGTGGAGAGAGCAAAACAGGACAGAGAAAGAGAGGGGGGACAGAGAAAGAGTGGGGGAGAGAGGGATGGGGTGGGGGGCAGAATATTTATGGCACTGCATCACATTGAAATATCCCTTCACATACTGTAAAGCACAGTGACAGTAGGCGAAACACGGCAGCCAATTTGCGCACAGCAACATGATACTAATATTAATCCTTGCATTTGATATAGCACCTTATCAAGTCTTCAAGACGTCTCAAAGCGTTTCACAACCTATATAAAATATAAGGTATACTGACTGTATATTAACCCACAAAGAGTCGCAGAGCGAGTGACCGATTATCTGTGAGTATTGTCGGACAGGACATGGACAGATACCTCAATGACGTGATAATGTGCTTTGATCAAATGCAGGGTTCATATTCCTTACTATGGCATCGAAACATCGCAAAGCGTTTTGCAGGGTATACTATAAATTGCAGAGAAACGCGGCAGCAATGTCCCACAAACAGCCAGAAGAACGAGCGACCAATATTATCAGGGGAAATTATTGGCCAGGACTGGGGGGGGGGGAAGAGAATAATAATGATAATAATAATCCTTGCATTTAATATAATGCCGGATATTCACTGTAAAGTGAATTGACTATATTTTGTGGGCGAAATAGAGGAAAGCAGTCATGAAAAGGCCCGGGGACTTTCCATAAATCGAGATGCAGGTTGAAACGAAAAGGGAGCGAGATACAAACAAAAAAAGAGTCAACTGCAGAGGTAGTGGTGGAGGAGGGGGGAGTGGAGGAAAGGGCAGGTTAATGGGACTCAAGAATCGCTCTTGAGGGAGCAGCACAGATGTGAAGGGCCAAATGGCCACATTGTGTGACTTAGGGCCAGAGGGGGACTCAGCCCCACTCTGCCAACCCTTCCCAATCCATCTGTTACCCTCCTACCCCTATCCACCCCATCCTCTACCCCCTCCTAATCCCAACCGCCAGCTCTGGTGCGGATACCTGACTGTCCAGCGCCTTGGGCGTCCTCCTGACATGAAAGACGCTGGACACATGTAATTTGTTGTCCAGAGAGATGTCCATGTACCCGAACCTCCTCCATGCCAGCCTGAAAGATGGCTGCCTTCTGCATCACATAGGTTCTGATGGACCTCAGAGTCTATGCGGTGAGGAGGTGAGGGGTGGTGGGGAGGGGGGAGATATGTTTAATATAGTAATGTTGTGATAGCAATGGAGAGGACGATATCTTTCAAAAAATGTTCTGGAAAATGGGAGCATACATCTTCGACACATCTCAAAGCACTTCACAAAATACACTGTAAAGTGTAGTGACTGTATATTTTGTGGGCAAAACGCAGCAGCCAATTGCACACAGCAGCGTCCCACAAACAGTCGTGGATTGAGTAACCAAATTATTATATTTTTTTAAAAGGTGATTATCCCCAGAAAGCGTTCCACCAATCGACTAACAACCGGGTTCCTACTTACGTCTGGGTAAACAGAGGCGTGTGGAGAAAGGAAACTTGCCTAAGGTTTCGCTCTGCCCAGGAATTGAACCCAGGTCCTCTCACTTGCGAGGCAAGTGCACTGACCAACAGGATTCTCCATTTTGGCCCTCTCTACCCCTAGGAAAGCAGGGGTCAAACAGACTCTAATTAGCATTGGAAACACAAAACGAACAGGCCACTGGTATCAGGATGGGCCTGCAGGCGCCATCTTGGTAAAACTGTTATCCACAATGATAGTGAGGGGAGAGTGCGGCCATATTGGTAAAGGCAGAGCGCTCAATGCCTAGGTGTGGACAGGTGTAAGGTGGACATCTTGGTAAAACTTAAGCCATCAATTGAACATCTCAACTGCAACACCCCCCACAGTACAGCATTTTAGCGTCTGCTTAGATGATATAATTCAAAGTTGCGACATTGGGCTTGAACCCACAACCTTCTAGTCAAGAGGCAAGAGCGCTATTACTGAGCCAGGCTGGCTGACACACGAGATAATATAATCTAATGTAAGATTTTACATTAGATTATTGCAATGGTGGTGAGGGTGGAGACAGGCCATCTTGGTAAAGGAAGTGAGCTGTAAAGGCGATGAGGGTGGATGGTGGCCATCTTGGTAAAGGAAGTGTGTGGCCAATGGATGTGGTGCAAAGATAGAGATTCAGCCCAGTTATGATCACAGACTGGGATTCAGCTGTTAAAAAAAAGTGGGGAGTTTCTCTCACCCCTTTAGAAGGTTGAGGGGTGATCTGATTCAGGTGTTGAAAATAATAAAGGGATGCGATAGGGTAGCTACAGAGAAACTATTTCCTCCAGTGAGAGAATCCAGAACAAGGGAACATCATCTTAAAATTAGAGCCAGGCCATTTTGCAGTGAAATCAGGAGGCAGTTTTTCACCCAAAGGTTTGTGGAAATCTGGAACTCTCAACCAAAAGGCTGTGGATGTTGGATCTACTCACATCTTCAAGACTAAGGTGGACAGATGTTTGTTGGGTCATGGTATTAAGAGATATGGGGTAATTGGAGTTGAGATACAGTTCAGCCGTGATCTAATAGAATGGTGGAACAGGCTTGAGGGGCTGAATGGCCTCCTCTTGTTCCTATGTTCCACACACACACAAATCATGGCTGGCAATCACTTTGCGTTTGTTCGCTTCTCGGTTGTTTACGGGGATGTTGCTGAGTGCAAATTTGCCCACAAAACACTCGCATTTTACAGCAAATTCTTGCAAAATATATTTTTTGAGGCAATTTTTAAAAAGAAAAAAACTTGAATTCCACCATTTCATTGATGCAATTTTTAAATCCCCAATATTTAACAATTAAGTACAAGTGAGATGCAGAAACAGAGAGAGAGAGGTGGGTGGGGGGGTGGCACTCAACGCTAAAAGTTGCAATGGTTACAAAAGTCCTTATTTTGACTGAGTTCTACACCTTAAAAAGGGTCACACAAATAATAAATTGGTCACTCAATCCACGACTTTGTGGGGCACTGCTGTTCATAATTGGCTGCCGTGTTTCGCCCACAAAATACTCAAGTAATTCACATTACAGTATATCCCATGAAGCACTTTGATACGTCTCGAAGACATGATACGGCGCTATATCAAATGTAAGGGTTATTATTTTATAAATACAGCAGCAGACCACAGGTTTTGTGTGTGTGTCTGTGTGTGGGGGAGTATGGTGGGGGGTGGATGTTTAGGGCTGGGGACCAGCAGGATAACAGCACTGAGCTTAGCCCCTTCATAGAGTCCCGAAGGTCAGGTGGCAGGTGGAGCGTGTTAGTGGGGGGGGGGAGAAAGGGGAGGAGGTGTGTCCGCACTGGCTCGGGAGGGTGTCCCAAGTCGCTGGACAGTCTAAGGTTTGCACTCGAGCTGGGGGTAGGGTTAGGGGGATGGGGAAAGATGACCAAAGGAGCGGTCAAAGAGGAAGGGCCTCGAAGGAGGTGAGGGAGCAAAGGGTGGATGGGCTCTGGATGGAGATCCCGAAGTTGGGGTTTGGGTGGGGGAGGGAGGAGGGCAAAAAGAAAATTTTCAAGTTCCAACTCAAGATTGAGAGCCTAGCCTTGGCTGACTTTTATTGCCCCTCTATCCCCCCTGCTCTGCTCTGTACCTTCCCCGATCCCAACCCCCAGCTCAGGTCTGAAACTGTGATTGTCCAGCGCCTTGGGACATCCTCCCAACGTGAAAGGCGTTATACAAATGTCGTTCTGTTGTTGTTGTATTCAGGGGGAGGGGAGGGGCAATAGATGAGCATCAGGACCAATTGTACCCCCGCCTAACCTACTCTACCCAAAAATGAAATTGGAATAGAAGTGAATATTATGGGGGAATTTCTATGTGCCACCTGGGCTCAATGGTAGCGCGCTCTCTCTCTCTCTCCTCGGAGTCAGAAGGTTATGGGTTCAAGCCCCACGTCAAGACTTGGAATCACACAATGTAAACTGATGTTGCAGTACAGCGCTGGGGGGAGTTGCATTGTTGGAGGCGCAACAAACATCCCACAAACCATCGTAGATTGAGTGACCAAATTATTATATATTTTTTTGAAGGCATTATTAACCCCAGAAAATGATCTGCCAATCGACTAACAATTGGGTTCCTACTTACTGACAGGTAAAGCAGGCGTTTCCTGGAGTAAGGAAACCTGCCTAAGGTTTCGCCCTGCACGGGAATCAGACGCAGGTCCCTCGCTTACGAGGAGAGTGCTCTAACTACTAGGCTACAGGACTCCACATTTGCCCCCGCTCTAACCCTGGAAAAGCCGGCATCAAATCAGACTCCAACTAGGATTGGAGATGCAAAAAAAACAGGCCACTGGTATTAGCATAGGCCCCAAAGGCACCAATTTGGTAAAACTATTGTCCACAATAATGGCGAGGCGAGAGGGCGGCCATCTTGGTAAAGGCAAAACACACAAATGGCTGGTGTGGGCAGGTGTGAGATGGCCATCTTGGGTAAAACTGTGACCTGCAGTGATGGTGAGGAGAGAGAGTGGCCATCTTGGTAAAACTATTGTCCAGCCAAGGAGTGAGTGACCAATTTTCTTTGGGGATTGTTGGCCAGGACATCGGGAGAGAGAGAAACTCACTTCTCTTTTCGAATAAGAGATCTTTATAATGTCCACCTGAACAGGCAGGAGGGTTTTACATCTCATGTGCAATACCCCCACAGTGCATCACTGTAGCGTCAGCTTAGACGTAATGATTCCAAGTTCTGACGTTAGGCTTGAACCCACAATCTTCTGACTCAGAGGCGAGAGCGTTATACTGAGCCAGACTGTTCCACAAGATGATATAATCTAATGTAAGATTTTAAGAACTATTATTCAGATCCCCTCCATCCTTCCCTCCCTTTAGTAATATTGTACTACCAGGGGAAGGATTATACAGTCATTTCTACTGGTTCTTTACATACCCACCAATAATAATAATAATCCTTACATTTGATATAGAGCCTTATCATGTTTGAGACGTCTCAAAGCGCTTCACAGAATATACCGCAAGGTGAATTGACTGTAGATTTTGTGGGTGAAACAAATGCATTTGCACATGGTAACCCACACTCTCTTAGCCCATCTCGCATTTTACATCCATTGGCTAACTTATAGGACCCACATTTTGTCAGCATGATTATCAGAGACACATAAGCAGTGACATAAGCACAGCAAAGCTTTATACAATTTGAGCGGGGTGGAGGGGGGGGGAAGGGAGAGCGGTGATTGACTGGGGAAGACAACCGAAAGCTAATAGCAGGGAATAGCAGAGCAGTCTGGAGAAAGGGGACGGTTTCTGCCTCTGGCGTGAGTGAGAAAAACAAGCGCCAAAATAATTATTATATTATTAATAATAATCCTTGCTTTGATTTAGCACCTCCGATAGTAGCTTTCAAACAGGAATTGGATAGGTACTTGAAAAGGAAAAATGTGCAGAGCTATGGGGTAAGAGCGGGGGAGTGGGACTGGTTGGGCAGCACTTCTCAAGAGCCGGCACAGGCTCAATGGGCCGAATGGCCTCCTTCTGTGCTCTAATATTCTAGGATTCTTATTGCGTCTCAAAGTGGAAACACAGAATTGACTGTAAAGTGGAGCCACTGTGTGTTTTGTGGGTAGAGTCCATGGTATAGTTTAATAGTGAAACTGAAATACCAGAAAGTGGGGTGGGGGGGGAAGGGAGGGGGTGGAGAAGGGAAGGGAAGGGGGGGGGGATGAACATAAGTCCGCCCCAATAATGTCACTGGAATCCGCCAGCCCGCAAACCCCACCACCCCAGGCTGGTGGAATCTATCTGGGTTCCTTCCCCACTCCCAACGCTCCCCTGCCCAGCCCCCACCCACCACACCCCCTTCCCCTTGCTGCCCGGCCTAGGTGGGAGAGCGCCCCCTGGAGGGCAGTGTTGCGTGGGTTGGCCTACCTGCAGAGGTGGGAGTGACGGGCGAGTTTGCTTGGCTGTTCTGAGAAGCTGCGGTTGCGTTCACTGCCGTCTTAACAGCGTAAATGTTAGCCTCCTCCTGGAACTTACCAATGTTCTTCTTATAGCGAATTCGCTTGTTTCCAAACCAGTTGGACACCTGAGAGAGAGATAGAGAGAGAGAGGGGGAAGAGAAGGGCAAGGGGTCAGGCCAAGGCTTGGTAAATATCCAATTCAATCTACCCTCACCTCCCGCCTCACCACACTCCACACCCCCAGCCCACCAGCCGCACAGGTTACAGACACAGTAAAGCTCCCTACATTGTGCGTCCGCGCTCCCAGATCAGGGTGAGAGACACAGTAAAGCTCCCGCTACACTGTCCATCCACACTCCTCGGTTAGACTGCAATACAGCACATCCGCGGCACCGACTCAGTGTCAGGCAGTGAGTTCCAAGTCCCTGACATGTGGGGGAATTGAGCCCACAGCCTTCGTGCTTGGAAGCGACTGAGCCAGACTGGACTCTACAGGGCAGAAAACTTGGAAAGAACACAGTGTCACAGCCAGGGCCAGACTAAGGGTTCTGGGAGGCCTCGCATTGCGAGTTTGCTGTGGCTCTAAAAATGATTTAATCCCTGCATTTATACAGTGCCTTATCACGTGTCAAAGCGCATCACAGGATGTACTCTGTCACTATAAAGAGGAGTCACTGTGCATTCTGTGGGTGAAAAGCGGCAGCCAATTTGCACACAGCAACCTCCCAAACAGCCATGGAGCGAGTGACCAATTTTATTTGGAGAATTGTTGGCCAGGAGACGGGGAGAGAGAGAGGGGGAGAGAGAGAAACTCCCTTCCGTTTCCACTGTGCCGTCTGAAGAGGCACAGACAAAATCTCGGTTTAATGATAACAAATAATAATAATTCTTGCATTTGATACAGCGCCTTATCACGTCTTCATGACGTCTCAAAGCGCTTCATAGCATGTACTGAAAATTGAATTGACTATATTTTGTGAGTTTAAAGTCTCATTTGAAGGATGGCACCTCCTACATTGCAACACCCCCCCAGTACTGCATTGAATCGTCAGCTTAAGACTATAGGGTTTGAACCCACAACCTTCTGCTACCCAGAGGCGAGAGGGCTATCAAGTGAGCCAGTTCCTCTGTACATCCTCCTGAGTCTCTCGCGCCCGAGTCAGAAGGTTGTGAGTTCATCAATCCCCAAAATAAAATTATTCTTTCACTCCACAGCTGTTTGTGGGACGTCGCTATGCGCCGCACAGCTGTGCTGCTGTGCTTCTCCCACAAAACACAGAGTTACTACACTTTACAGTATATTCTGTGAAGTGCTTTGAGATATCCTGCCAACTTGATAAGGCACTGTACTAACTGCAAGGATTATTATTAGTTGTCTTATTAATATTCATAAGAATCCTTGCATTTGATACATGTCGGTCGTCGAGACATCTCCAAGCTCTTCACAGCATTTACTGTAATGTCTTGTAGTAGTTAGAGCACTCGCCTCTCAAGCGGGAGGACCTGGGTTGGATTCCCAAGCGACGCGAAATGTTAGGCAGGTTTCCTTACTCCACACACCTCTGTTTACCGAGCAGTAAGTAGGAAGCTGGCTGTTAGTCAATTGGCAGATTGCTTTTCTGAGGGTTCAAAAACAAAACCCCCTAAAAAAAATTAAAACAAAAAAAAATAATTTGCTCACTGAATTCACAACTGTTTGTGGGACACTGCTGTGCGCAATTGGCTGCCATGTTATGTCCACAAAAATATACAGTCAATCCACTTTACAGCATATTCTGTGAAGCACTTTGAGACGACTTGAAGGTGCGATAATTCACTATATCAAATAGAAGGATTACTATTATTATATTACAGTAAAACTCGCATAAATCTGATCTGTATAATCCTATAGTCGCCTAAAATATACATCTGCCCAAATCCTGTTCAAGAGTTTATAATCTATGCAAGTTTGATATAACTTATACTTTGCATAAGTTATTAAATTAGGGTCCCAACTGAGACGACATACTGAGATTTAATGGGATTGTTCTCCTTAGAGCAGAGAAGGTTAAGGGAAGATTTAATAGAGGTGTTCCAAATCATGAGGGGTTTGGAGTTGCTCGGGTTTAGAGTTTCCACCTGCCGGTGGGTCAGTAAACAGGGGACATAGATTTAAGTTATTTCGCAAAAGAACCTGAGGGTAAATGAGGAGAAATGTTTTTACACAGAGAGTTGTTAGGATCTGGAATTCACTGCCTGAAAGGGTGGAAACCAATTCAATATCAACTTTCAAAAGGGAATGAGATAGGTACCTGAAAAGGAAACATTTACAGAGCTGTGGGGAAAGAGCGGGGCAGTGGGATGATTGGGCAGCTCTTCCAAAGAGCTGGCGTAGGCACGATGGGCAGAACGGCCTCCTTGTGTGCTGTCATATTCTGTGATTCTATAATTCTATGCATCTACTGTAAGAATAATCCTTGTATTTACATCCTTGCAGTTAGCGTCTTATCAAGTTTTCGAGGCGTCTCTAAGCGCGTCACAGGATATACAGTAACGTGCAGCAATAGTGTTTTGTGGGTGAAACGCGGCAGCCAGTTTGTTGGTCAACCCGGGCCCTGATCACAGGCTACAAACACAGAGGGTTTAACACTGAGAGGAGAGACTGTGCCTGACCTGTGATAGACTGACCTGCGAGACAGTGATGCCGCACTTTTTTGCCAGTTCTTCTTTGGCCTCCTCGCTGGGATAGGGGTTACTGAGGTGCGAGTAAAAATACTCATTCAGAATCTCCGTGGCTTGTTTACTGAAATTACGCCTTTTTCTCCTGTTGAGAGAGACGTATGGAGAGAGAGAGAGAGAGAGAGAGAAAGGTTACACATCATGAAAATAAACATTTCACGTCAGGACGACGTCCAAAAGTTTTCCCAGGATACCAAGAGCCTTAAACCGAGATCCTGTCCGTGCCTTTTCAGGTGGACGCTAAAGATCCACTCATGCTATTGGAAAAGAGAAGGAGTTTCTCTCTCCTGGTGTCCCGGCCGACAATCCTACAAATAAATGTAGTAAATGTAGGACCGTGTGTTTGGTGGGGGATTGGAGCAGCCAATTTGCGCACAACAACATCCACCCAAACAGTCAGGGAATGAGTGACCAATTTTATCTGTGGTTATGTCAGCCAGGACACCGAGAGAGAGAGAGAGAGAGAAACTCCCTTTCCATCTTGAGTAGCACTGCGGGAATCTTTAACCTCCATCTGCACAGCACAGATGGGAGTGGGATAAGGCTGTGGAGCGTGTCTTATCAGTTTGGGGTTACGTTCCCAGCCGTCTTCCTGAGACCCTTCACTGCCCGAGTCTCTATCTGTTTCCACGCAGTGACTGACGGGCGGCTCCTCGAGAAGCTCGGGATTATCAGCTAAAATGAATGCAGATTTGCCCCAAAAACTCTGAAACTTAGTCAGGGCTTAAACAGGAGGCCGGGCTCCGGGTGGTGATTGGCTACCGTGGCTGTCACTCGTCAGGGAGGGGAGGGACCTGGGCGACGATTGGCAGGTCTGAGCTGTCACTCACAAGGATGTCAAGCTCTGGGGTGGGAGGAACGGGAGCCAATCTCGGTGAGGTGTGGGGTGGGGGGGCTTGAGAAATGTCTTGCATGGTCAATCCTTGCATCCGATATCACATCGTCGAGACGTTTCAAAGCGCTTCACAGGTCATTCTGTAAAGCATAGTGACTGGACTCCTGCAGTTCAGTGGTTAAAGCACTCGCAAGCAAGCAATGGGACCCAGGTTCGATTCCCGACGGGGCGAAACCTTAGCCAAAATTCTTTGCTCCAAACACCTCTGTTCACCCAGAAGTGAGTAGGAGTCCAGTTGTTAAGTCGATCCGCGGATCGCTTTTCCGGGGGTAATAATTCCTTCCAAAAAAGAAGTAAATAATAAAATAATAATAAATTGGTCACTCGCTCCACGACTGTTTGTGGGACGCCGCCGTCATTTCTCCTACAAAATATACAGTCGATTCACTTTACAGTATATCCTGTGAAGCGCTTTGAGACGTCTAGTAGACGTGAAATGCGGCAGCCAGTTTGCACACAGCAGCGTCCCACAAACAGTCATGGAGCAATCGACTGATTTTATCTGGGTGATTGTTGTCCAAGACACTGGGAGAAAGAAACTCCCTTCTCTTTTTGAATAGCGCTGCAGGATCTTTAATGTCGGGAGGACATCCCAAGGTGACATCCCATTTAAGCGTTTGAACCCGAGTTGGGGGTTAAGAGTCAAGGGGAGTAGAGGTGTAGGGGGTGGGAGGATAATGAAAGTCGCAGTCGAGATGGGCCTTGAAGGCGGAAGGGTCTCTGTGATGGTGTTCCAGAGAGGCTGAAGCCCTGTGGTAGGTGTGCCAGGCAGGGAATGTGGAGCAGGACGGAGGCTGCTGGGTGGGAGGGAGCGGACAGATTGTTAGGGTTTTAGCAGGTCACAGAGGTTGGGGGAGGGGGGCACAAGACCATAGAGGGCTTTAAAGGTGAGGATGAGGATTTTGCACTGTATCCTCTGGGGGATGGGGGCCAGTGGAGGCGGGCGAGGGTGGGTTTGATGGGGTCACGGAGCCTGGTGTGGGAGAGGACACGAGCTGCAGAATTCTGGATGATCTGCAGCTTGTGGAGGGAAGCGTCGGTGAGGCAGACAAGCAGCGAGTTGCGTGGTTGAGCCTGGTTGTAATGAATGCATAGATGAGGGTCTCGGCAGCCTGAGGGGAGAGGCAGTGGCGGAGCCGGGAGATGTTGCGGAGGTGAGGGAAGGCAGAGCTGGTCATGGCACGGAAGGATAGTGCTGGACTGGCTTAGTGAGTTGGAGTGTGTATCCCTGGACGGTGATGTGGTCAGCGCCTGAGGTGTGGAGACACTGACGGGAGCTATTCAGGAGAGCCTCGGTCTTGCTGACACTAAACTGTAAAGTTAGCTCTCATCCAGGACTTGATGTCTCACAGACAGCAGTGGTCCTGGAGTCGAGGGTGGAGGCAGAGAGATACAGTTGGGTGTCAACAACTTGCACTTATATGGCCCCCTTCACACGGGGTTAGTTTCCTCGAGCGCTTCACACTCGCAAAGTCGGAAAATGAGCCAAGGGGAGAGGAAGGGGGAGGTTACCATAAGAACAATCATTCAGGGAGATTTGAAGGTGGGCAGGGAGGGGGCAAGGCGGGGGATTGAGGGAGGCAGTTATTAATAATAATCCGTGCATTTGATATAACGCTTTTCACGTCTTCGAGACGTCTCAAAGCGCTTCACAGAATATACTGTAAAGTTAATTGACTGTATATTTGTGGGCAAAACGTGGCAGCCAATTGCGTACAGCAATGTCCCACAAACAGTCGTGGATTGAAGTTTTATTGTTGTTTTTTTTCTTGAGGGATTTTTATCAGGCATATGGAATAAGGAAACTTGCCCAAAGTTGCCCAATCTGCCAGGGTTCAAACCCAGGTCTCTCGCTTGCGAGGCGAGTGCTCTAACCACTGAGCTACAGGACTCCTCGTTCCAGAGTCAGGGGGCGTAGTGAGTGGCTGGGATACTGATCTGTGGAGCAGAGGGAGCGAGGGACAAACAGGAAGTTGGAGCCAGCTGAGGGAGGCAGCGAGTGATGGAGTGGGGGGTAAGCATGTCGGGGGTAGGTAGGGAGGCGAGAGGGAATGAAGTGATTTGAAAATGAGTGAGAGGATCTTGAAGTCTAAGTTTTTTCTACTCGTTCACTCCCCCACCCCCCCCAGCTCCACCCCACCCCCCGGTCTCCGCACACTCACCTAGCGTCGAGAAAGCGTGAGCGGAGGATCATGACGGCCTCACACGTGCTCTGTTTGAGCTGCATCTGGATGGAGCTGAACTTGCGGTGAATAATGGCGACCATTCGCTCAATCTCTTTGGGGGAGATGGGCCTCGTTCGGCTCTGCTCCCGCAGCAGGTTCATCACGTGTGTCGTGAACTCGTTACACGCCTGAGCCGGAGAGAGTGGGGGGGGGGGGGGGGGGGAGAGGGGAGAATGAGTGGGGAGAGGGGGGGAGAGAGGAGGGAGGTGGTGGTGGGAGAGAGACAGAGAGAGGAGAGAGAGAGACAGGAGAAAGCCAGATAGAGAGAGAGAATGGGTGAGACAGAAAAGAGAAGGGAGGTCAGGTCCGAGGAAACAACAAGCAGAGTTAACCTCCCTCTACACTGTGCGTCCACGCTCCTAGGTCAACAACAACAACAACATTTTATTTGTACAGCGCCTTTCACGTCAGAACATCCCAAGGATCTGGACAGTCAGTGTTTCAGACCTGAGCTGGGGATCGGGATCGGGGAGGGTATAGGGCACGGCGGGAAGGAGGGTGACTGAAGAGGAGGGTCTTGGAGAAGGCAAGGGAGGCGGCGAGGCGGAGGGACTGCGGGACGGAGTTCCAGAGGGTAGGAGTAGAGGGAGGAGGGTGAGATGGGGGACAAAACTATCCGTCCACACTCCCAAGTCAGGGTTAGATACACAGTAAAGCTCCATCTACACTGTCCATCCCACACTCCCAGGTCACTTTGATATAGTGCCTATCAATGTTGGGAGGAGTCTCAAAGTGTATCATAGGATATACTATAAAGTGCAGTGACTGTGTTTTGTGGGTGAAACGCGGCAGCCAGTCGCGCACAGCAACGTCACCGCAAAAAGTGATTGATTCTATTTTATTTGGGGGATTGTTAGCCCGGCCCCAGTAGACAGCAACAACTGTTTGTGGGACACTGATGCACGCAATTGGCTGATGTGTTTCGCCCACAAAATACACCGTCGCTACGCTTTACAGTATATCCAGTGAAATGCTTTAAGATGTCTCAATGACGTGATAAGACGCTACATCAAGTGCAAGAATTATTATTATATTATCATCATCAATAGCTCCGCGGGATATTTAACGTCCAGCTGAAGCAGGGCAGGGACGGGAGTGAGATTTAACGTCTCATCCGAAGGATGGCACCTCTGGATTTTCATTGCATTTAATACAGTGCCTTATCGCGTCTTTGCGACGACTCTAAGAGCTTCACAGAATATACCGTAAAGTGCATTGACTGTATATTTTGTGGGAGCCAATTGTGCACAGCACAAAAATAATAATAATAATTTGCGTCACTCAATGCACGACTGTTTGTGGGACGCTGCTGTTGTGCACGAACAGTCGTGGATTGAGTGACTCAAATTATTATTATTATTATAATTTTTGAAAGGGATTATTACCCCAGGAAAGCAATCCGCCAATCGACTAACTATCGGGGTCCTACTTACTGCAAGGTAAACCGAGACGCGTGTGCGCGCGCGCGTGTGTGTGTGTGTGGAGTAAGGAAACTTGCCTAAGGTTTCGCCCTGTGCCGGGAATCGAACTCGGGTCCTCTCACGTGCGATGCAATCGCTCTACCGACTGAGCTACGCGACTCCACGATGTGGCTCTGTACTGGAGCGATAGCTCAAAGGCCCCCCCACGCTAACCCCTGCCCCCTACCGCCCCACGCCCGACGGGCTGCTGCGGACCCTGAGGTGGCTGCCAGTACCTGCTCGTATTTCTCCAGCTCGGTGTGGTAGATCTGCCGGATCTGGGCCAGCTTGGCTCGGTAATCCGAGTGTTCGATGGAGTTGTCGGGAGAGACTCCCCCGGCCGCGGCCGCCGCTGCAGCGGCTGCCGCCGACCCCCCCCCTTTCTCCGGCCCGGCCACGCCCTCCGCCAGCAGCATGTTGTCCAGTCGCATCAGCTGAGGGTCGACCGGCTCTTCCTCTTGTGCGCTGCGTATGCTGAGTCCTGGCCGGGGAGGGAGGGAGGGAGAGAGCGAGGACAGAAACAAGATCAACTTCCTGCAGCGAGTAATACAACAACAACAGGTTACGTTTACACGGTGACGCTTTTCACAGTGGGAGGACTTCCCACGGAGTGAGACCGTCGGGAATTTGGATCCAACAATAATTTACACAGGTGCCCTCACGTGGGCAATTAACAGTGACAGAGCCCGACCACAAGCCAGGGGGGAGGTGACAGTAATATATACAATATATAACAAGAATAATCCTTGCATTTGATACGACGCCTTGTCACATCTTCGGGAATGTCTCAAAGCGTTTCAGAGAATATACTGCGAAGTGAATTGACTGTAGCTGAGCTGTGGCAGACACAGTCGAAGAGGAAGGTCTTCGCTCATGATGTGAAAATGGGGAAGGAGGGGGCAAGGCGGAGGGATTGGGGGAGACAGCGACAGAGTTTCGGGACGTAGCGACCGCCGATGGTGGAGCGGAGGGCACCAGGGACAAGCTGGAGGCCGGAGCCAGCTGAGCGGAGGTAGCAGGGAGGGGGCCGGGGGAGTGAGCAGGTCGGAGAGGTAGGGAGATGCCAGGGCGCAAAGGGATTTGTAGACGAGTGAAAGGATCTTGAAGTCGATCCGTATTGTGATAGGGCGCCAGTGGATTCTGGTGATGACTGGTGTGATGGGGGTACGGAGTGGCTGTGTTAATATGGATGACAGATGTGTGCATTAGTTGGATTTTGTGGATAGTAGAGCTGAGGAGACCAGCGAGCAGAGTATTATAATGATAAACAATAATTGTGAGAAAATTATCCTTATTCCCTTTCAGCTTATAACCAAAAAGCACTGAATATAGCTAGCAACTGAGACATACCCCTCACACAAAGAAACTGACCTTCTTATCTATATAGATAAATAAAACTATCTGGTAAAAATGTGGGTATTTTTTGTTGGCCGAGTGTGTGACCAATGCGGAAACCCATCACTGCGCTTAAGAGTCTCCAAATCAAGATGTGAATTCAATACATCCCAACTGCAATCCCAGAGATAGATTGTTGGAATGGAATGTGCCCTCACTCTCTCCCTGGAGGAATATCTCCTGCTTACCTAATTCCGGACAGTGTTAGGCAAGAGCCAAGGTTTGGAAAACCCCAGAGTGCATGTTGAGGTAACTGCTGGAGTCTAACCAGCTAAAACCACGCAGCTTGCCAATGATATCACTGTCTGACCAGCTTTCCCGCTGCTTGTCCAGCCAGGACCACCCGACCCGACAAGGCTTTGGCTGCGGGGTTAACAGGAGCTGAGTGGGAGGATTCCCTGCCCCCAGTGACTGGTCGGCCCTTCCAGGCCCTGGTGATGAGCCAGGCCGGGCTGGGCTGCCTTCAGCAGTGACCTGGAATACTGCGGACTTGCCTTGACCATAAAAATGATAAAGAATTGGAAGAACAACTGAAAGCAGTAAAAAATGTTCAACGATGATGTAAAAATACAGTTTCCATTCAATTGCCAATTGCCTTAGTCAATGGTAAACTGCAATAAAACCTGGAAACGTTCAGCTTGAATAAAATAACAGAAATATCTGAATAGATGAATGGGTGGAATAGATCATAAAAGGCATGACATTGAAAGTTGTTTCTGAATATATAAGAAAAGTACTTAAAGCAGAGTTAAATGCCGGAAATCAAATATGTGGAGTCCTGCAGCTCAGTGTTTAAAGCACTTGCCTCGCAAGCAAGTCCTCATGGGTTCAATTCCCGAACTGGGCGATATGTTGGGCAAGTTTCCTTAATCCACACACCTCTGTTTGCCGAGCAGTAAGTTGGTTGCTAAGTCGATTAGTGGATTGCTTTCCTAGGGGTAATAATCCCTTCAAATAATATTAATAATAATTTGGTCACTCAATCCAAGACTGTTTGTGAGATGTCGCTGTACGCAGTTGGCTGCTGCATTTTGCCCAAAAAATATACAGTCTCAATTCGCTTTACAGTGCATTCTATGAAGCGCTTTGAGACGCCTCAAAGATGTGATAATGCGCTATATCAAATGCAAGGAATATTATTGTCATAATAATCGATTGGAAGATCAAAGCTCTGAAAAATATACAGAGAATCATGTGGAAACTGTTGACCATTCATGGCTCGCGTGATATAAACGCTGATTGCAACGAATTTATATTCCAAGAAAAGAAAAAGAAGGTGGCAGAGGCCTGATTGAATTTGAAGCATCTTATCAATCAGGATCCTCCTTGGGGAGATACTCAGTGTCTCCTCGGAGCTGAACTGGCTCCAAGGCGACATATTTGGCACGAATGTCGGAATGAGGCCAGCCCTCTGTCACCAGGTCCTATAATGATATAATAATCCTTGCATTTGCTGCAGCACCTTATCATGTCGTTGAGACGACTCAAAGCACATCACAGAATATACTGTCAAGTACAGTGACTGTATATTTTGTGGGCGAATCGGGGCAGCCAATTGCACACGGCAGTGTCCTACAAGCAGTCGTGGATTGATTGACCAATTTTTTATTTTATTTTTTTTGCAGGAATTATTATTACCCCCGGACAAGCGACTGACAACCGGGATCCTACTTACTGCCGGGTAAACAGAGGTGCGTGCGTGCGCCCCGCCGGAGATCGAACCCGGGTGCCTTAATCGCGAAGCGAGCGCTGCAAGCACTGAGCTGGAGGTCTCAGTGTCCCCGTATTGAGTCTGTGCTGTCAGCCCGTGACTGGATTGCAAACCAGACCAGACCCAGCCCAGCGCAGGCTGAACCGCACTCTCTGCTGTCACCATGGGGACAACCGAGCAATGACCTGCTTCCCTCCTCAGCCACAAAGATGGGGATTGGCTGCCATGGCAACACTCCGAGAGGAATCTCTTAATAATTCCAGGGGGAAAGAAAGCTCGGAAGGGCAGTCGCTGCCCATCTGACGACAGTAATAATCCGAGATTATCCACCCGAAACGTTAACTCACTTTCCTCTCTCCATAGATGCCGCCTGACCGGCTGAGTGTTCCCCTCCACTTCAGTTTTTTTTTTTTTATTTTACAATAATAATCCTTGAATTTGATATCACGTCTTATCTGTTTATCTCTTATCATGTCGTTGAGACGTCTCAAAGCGCTTCACAGAATATACTGTCAAGTGTAGCGATTGTACATTTTGCAGCTGAAACTCGTCAGCCAATGCGGTACAGCAGTGTCTGTCCCACAAACCATCACGAGTTGAGTGACCAAATTATTATTATTGTTTTTTTTTTTGAAGGGATCATTATCCCCCGGAAAGCAATCCGCCGATCGACTAACGACTGCTGGGTAAACAGAAGCGTGCGGAGTAAGGAAACTTGCCGAAGCTTTCGCCCTGCCTTGGAATCAAATGCAGGACTCTCTCTCGCGAGGTGAGTGCGCCAATCACTGAGGTCGCCCTCGCTCCCATCGCTCCCTCTCCCGCCTCCTCCAGAGAGAGAGAGAGATAGAGAGGGAAAGACCCCGCACCTCCATCACTCACCCCGGTCCTTGCCAGGCTCCACTGGCTCCCCGTCGCAGAGCACATCAATATCAAGATCCGAGCTCTTGCTCCCCGGCATCTTCCCACCTCTCCAACCTGCTCACTCCCCACTCCATCACCCGCTCAGCCAGCTATGGCCTCCTGCTCATCCCTCGTCCCCTCCCTCTACGCTACCGTCGGTGGCCGCACTTTCAGCCACTTACACCTCAACCCTCTGTCACGATCTGCTTCAAACACTCCACCTCTCCCCCTCCTCACCCGCCTTCAGATAATATTAATAATAATCCTTGCATTTGATACAGCGCCTTATCAAGTTTTCGAGACGTCTCAAAGCGCTTCACAGAATAGACTGTAAAGTGAATTGACTATATTTTATGAAACACTCAGCCTAATTGCCACAGCGACGGCCCTCACAACCCTAATGCAGTGAGTGACAGATTTTATCTGAGGGGATTGGGAGCCAGGACACTGAGAGAGAGAAATTCCATTCTCTTTCGCAATAGCACCACAGAAGATCTTTAAAGTCCACCTGAATGGGGCACAGACCTGAGGTTTCACATCGTCTGAAGGACGTCACCTCTGACAACGCAACACTCCCCACCCCCCCACCCCCAGCACTGCACTGGAGCGTCCGCTGAGAGTATCTGCGTGATTTCAAGTCCTGACATGCGGCTTGAACCCACAATCTCTGACTCGGAGGTGAGTGCGCGAGCGACTACAGGGCTGACGGACACAGCCTCCTCTTCGATCGCGCTTACGGTCAGCTTCCCCCCACACCCCCCCAGGGTCTGAATCTGTTAAACGCTCTGAGGTACCTCTCCCTGCGTGAAGGGGGCTGTTTAAACATATAGTTGTTGTTGTTGTTGGTTGACGTGGGCTGGGTTAGGATGACAGAGCTTTGCGCTCTGGTATGTGTGAGAAATATGTGGGCCGCGTCCCAGCTTGTCTCTGGTTCCTTGCTCACTGCGGTGGCTCACATCAACACCTACCCCTGCCCAACCCACCTCTCCTCCCCCACGGCTGAATGTGCTCCCCCCACCCCCACAAGGTGTCCAGCGCTGCAACATAGAGCAATGAGGTAACAGCTTTAACACAAACAAATGCGCGCACACATGCACAGACCCAGAAAATCACACAAAGATATGCACGCACACATTGACGCAGTCGCACATGCACACACACACACGCACATGAACACACACATTCACAGACACATCATAACCAGCGTCAGTCCTTAACACAGAGCATAGCACACAGCAGTACAGCATACCACAGGCCCACACAGCAACGCGGGCCCACACAGCAACGCGGGCCCACACAGCAACCCAACAATACATTAATATAGCAGTACGGCACACAGCAACACAGCAACACACAGCAATGCAACATACAGCAATGCAACAATACAACACACAGTAATTCAGTGCCACGCAGCAGCTAACACAGCTCACAAACGCAGACATACACACACATACATGCATAGACCCAGACACACACGCATGTACACAATCACACACACATGCACACAGACCTACAGATGCAGATGCATACACACAGATGTACACACAGAGACTCAGATGCACAATCTGCAACACATACGCCCACACACATACACACACATATACACACACACACACACAGACGCATATGCATACACACAGAGATCCGCGCACACACTCACATACATACATACAAGCACAGACCCATCAGAACCAGCTGAGCAGGTGTCCAATCCCAATCCACCCACCTGTCCAATGTTCCCACGCCCGCATAACCCCCCCAACCCCCGGTGTGTGATTGAGCGAGCGAGAGCGAGTGGTCTGTCAGAATGCAACGGGATGTGGGTGGGTGGGTGGGCGGCAGAGGGGGTGTTGTTAGTTGCTGATTTATGACACACAGTCTGGCTGTTCAACTAACAGCCCTCACCCGTTCCCTCGTGAGAGATAATACCAGCTAATCAGCCACCTCACTGACAGAGACAATTATACAATTAACACACACATTACAGTGAGTGCACGCTGGGGGCAAAACAAGGTCTCATCGTGAGCATAAAGCCAGCAAAACACTCTCACAATTCCCGCCACCGCACATCCACACCCCCCCACCCCCACCCGACCCATACCCACAGACCAGAGCCCAACCCACACACAGCCCACACGCGAAGTGACCAATTTATTTTAAGGAATTATTACCCCCGGAAAAGCGATCCGCCAATCGACTAACGACCGGGTTCCTGTTTATTGCTAGATAAACGGAGGTGTGTGGAGTAAGGAAGTTTGACCGACGGTTTGCTCTGCGCGAGAATCAAACCCGGGTCTCCCTGAGTGCTTTAACCGCTGAGCTACAGGATTCCGCATATCACGCTTTGGAATCGCACAGTCTCGGGCTGACGCGCCAATACAGCGCTGGGGGTTTGATGCACTGTCGGAGGTGCCGGCCTTCAGATGAGACACTAAACTTCACTCCCACCTCGTGCCTGTGCAGGCGGAGTTTCACGATCTCGCGGCACTACTAGAAAAGGGAAGAGAGTTTCTCTCTCTCTCTCTGCTCGGGATTCGAACCCGGATCCTCTCGCTTTGCAAGGTGAGTGCTCTAACCAGTACACTACGGGAGGGAGGAGGCGGAGCGGTGGCCATTTTTGACACAGGCACGGAACTCCGCAGTGAGGAGGGGAAAAGATGGGTGGAGGCCATCTTTGATGCTGGCACAGAGCCTGTGCCTGCCTTAAAATGGGACCAATCACTAACCCCCACCCCCACCAGAATATTTTTATCTGCCACCCTATTCCCCCCTTTACTCTGCCATCCCTCACCTCCACACCATTGCCTGACTACACCACTGACTCATCCCTCAGGCCTCCAAAACCCTCATACATGCCTTCATTCCAAGCAGGCTCGACCACGCCACCTCCCTGCTTGTCGGTCTTCCCAACTCTTGCCTTCACAAGCTGCAGGTCAACGAGAATCCCTGCAGCCCGTGTCCTCTCCCACACCAGGCTCTGTGACCCCATCACCCCCAACCTCGCCCCAGCTCCACTGGCTCTTCACCCCTAGAGGATAGAGTTCAAATTCCTCGTCCTCACCTTCAAGCCCTCCATGGCTTTGCCCTCACCTACCTCTCTGACCTGCGAACCCCTTACCAACCTGTCTGCTCCCTTTGGTTAGCACGCTCCGGTCTGCTCCATGTTCCCCGCTCGTCCCACCCCACCATCCTGGGTCAGGCCTTCAGCCCCTCTGGCCCCACTCTCTGGAGCCCAATCCCCCATTCCCTTCGCCTCGCTCCCTCCCTTGCATCCTTTAAGGCAGGCCTTTGGTCACCCTCCCACCTCCACCCTACCCGCCCTCCACCCTCTCTGATCCCAAACCCTGCTCGGTTCCTAATCCCTGACTGTTCAGTGCCTTGGACATCGTCCTGACGTGAAAGGAGTTTTAATTTTGTATTATAAAAGGCACTTAGTGCCTCATCACCTCACAACAACTCAAAGTGCTCCACAGCGCAGGGACTGTGTATTTTGGGGGCAAAACACAGCAACCAGTTTGCACACAGAAGTGTCCCACAAATAGCCATAGAGCGAGTGACAAATTTTATCTTGGGAATCGTTGGCCAGGACACTGGGAGAAAGAAACTCCCTTCTCTTTTTTGAATATTGACAAGGGATCTTCAACCTCCTGAACAGGCAGACGAGACCTGGGTTTAACGTCTCATCTGAAGGACGGTACCTCTGACAGTGCAACAGCATTTGGAGCACCGGCCTAGAATGGGTGATTTCAAGCCCGACCTGGAACTTGAAACAACAACCCTCTGATTTAGAGACGAGAGCTCGACCGCTGCGCCAGGAGTATGGGGTGGGCAGGGGAACAAGATTCCTGCCATCTATCTACATTGGCTGTTACCTCCCTACCCGATTTATACAACATACACGGGAGTCTTTACCCATCAGCTCAGTGGATTTGGAGGAGATCGAGAGGGAGAGAGTGATACAACATATTCGCGAGAAAGAGAGAGAGGGCGAGAGGTACAAAATGTGGGCTCTGAAAGGGATGCAATGTAGCCTTTGAAGGGAAATACATGGGGAGAGCAATATACTATAACACGTGAAGGAGAGAGAGATACAATATAGGGAAAGTGGGCGAGAGAGATTATATATATATTATATGTATATACGCACAATGTAGCCTCTGAAGGGAGAGCGAGAGAGAGAGAGAGCGAGAGCGTAGCTTCTGAAGGGAATGCAGGAGAGAGAGATACGATATGTATGCACAATATAGGCTCTGAAGGGAGAGAGAGAGACAGAAAGAGAGAGAGAGGAGACACACAATGTGGCCTCTGTATGGAGAGATCAATGTATCTTTTGAAGGTTAATGAAAAGTAACCCCCACATGGGGAGAGCGATACGCTGTAACTTCCACAAGATAATGAGAGGTAGAGAGAGAGTAAGACATAATATAGCCTCTGAAGAGAACGGGAGAGAGAGAGGGGGATATAATAATATATATGTGTATGTATACACACAACATAGCCTCTGGAGGGAATGGGTGAGAGAGAGAGAAAGAGAAAATGTGGCGTCTGCATGGAGAGAGAGAGAGAGTGAGAGAATATAGTCTCTGAAGAGAGAGAGGGTGATGTGGCCTCCGAATGGGGGAAAGAGAAGAGATACAGGATAGCTTCCGAAGGGAGAGTGAAAGAGATAGACAGAATATATACCCACAATATAGCCTCTGAAGGGAGAGAGAGAGACACACACAACATGGTCTCTGTAGAGAGAGAGAGAGAGAGAGAGGTATATGGAATGTAGCCTTTGAAGGGAAATATAAAGTAAAACCCACACAGGGAGAGCGACACAGTGTAAGAGGTGAAAGATTGCGAGAGATACAACATAGCCTCTTGGAGGGAGGGGGAGAGAAAGAGAGAGAGAGAGAGAGAAAGATACAATATGGTCTCTGGAGTGAGAGGGAGGGAAAGAAAGATGCAATACAGCCTCTGAGGGGAGAAGGAGGGAAAGAGAGAGAGAGAGAGAGAGAGAGACACAATGCAGCCTCTGAAGGGGGAGGGGGGAGGGAGGGAGGGAGAGCGCGAGAGAGAGAGATACAATGTGGCCTCTGAAGGGGAAAAGAGAGCTGGAACATAGCCTCCGAAAGGGGGGGGTGGGGAGGGAGCGTGTGTGGGAGATACAATCTCTCCTTTGAAGGGAAATACAAAGTAACGCCCACATGGGGAGAAAGATACAACGTTACGCGCGAAAGATCGGCCGAAACCGGCAACTGATACGGTGTAGCACCGGAAAGATACAATATATTGCAGTGTACAGTTACAATGTAACGTGGGAAAGGCGCAATGTATCCGGGAAACATACAACGTAACACATGAACGATCCCACGCAGCACGTGAAAAAATACCATCCGGCGTGTGAACGATAACCCAAACACGCGAGGGGCCCAATGCAACCGACGGAACACGCCGCGTAGCGCGCGAAAGGCACCGCGCGACGCGTGAAAGCCGCACGTCTCGCAGAACGCAAAGACGTAACGTAATATATAAACCCACGAAAAGAGGCTCTCGGTGCAGCAGTTGGAGGGGGAGAGGGAGATGGAGCCGCGAGCGAGGGAGCAGAGTGAGGGGGAGCGGGGAGGCTCGGGGAGGCGGCCAGGCCGGGCCGGGCCGGACCAGGCCAGACCAGACCAGACCAGGCCAGGCCCACAGAGACAGCAAAAGTCAGGCAATAGACTGCACAGCTTCACAACAGCGCCAAGATGGCGGGCTGGTCTTTTTGTGTGTGTGTGCGCGTGAATGTCTCTGAGAGGCAATCTCCTTCCCTCCCCACCTTCCTCCCTCCCTCCCTCCCTCTCTCCCTCCCCCTCCCACCCACAGTCCTCCAAACACTCAGCACAGCTGCAAACACACACACACACACACACACACATCTCTTACCAGTTTTCTCTTTAATTTCACACAAGACGCTGAACAGAGCAGGTTTCATCCTATGGCAATTCAGTGCGTGTTTCCTACAAGAGGGAGAGAGAGAAAAAAGGGAGAGAGAGAGAGGGAGAGAGATGGAAGGCAGGAAAAAAAAACACACACACACTGCACACACACACACATACATACACACACACAGAGAGAGATTTATATAAAAAATACCCCTAAAAGGGACCAGGAGAGAAGTGCAGGGCCCGGGGACAGGAGCAGCACAACCTCAGGGGCTTCGCCATCGATGCGCAATTGGTGCAAAATAAGAAATAAAGAGGGATTTTAGCCCATTTTTTTTTAAAAAAAGAAAAACGCTTAACCCCCACCACCACCATCACCAGCACCACAACCACCAGCAATAAATAAAAAGTGTGGCAGGAAAGATGGCGCCAGAGGTAAACACTATAAACACACAAACCCTTATATATATATATATATATATATTGTGTTTAAAATAAAGACCATACACTCTGATCACACGCACCAGTTTAAATCTGCTCTCTCTCTCTCTGTATATATATATATATAAACACAAACACACACACACAGTCTAACATTGGATTGAGAGCATAAAGTGACACCAACTTGGCCTGAGCCTCGTCCAGGCTCTGGTCGGTGATGGTCATGATCTGGTGGAGGATGTCCCCGATGTCCTGTTTCCTGCCCTCTCCATTGTCACTGGGCTCCTGCATGTGGGGGGCGAGGGTCGGCAGAGGGGGTCCCGCCATCCCCACACCGCCTCCCCCGGATCCTCTCGCCTGCAACAGCCGACTCTGACTCTCCATAGCCCCGGACACACCACAGGCCACCAGGGCTGGTCACCCCCCCCACCCCCAACCCCCCCTCCCCCTCCTCCCCCTGATAGCCCTCAACCCCCTCCTCCTCCCCCTCCCTCCTCCCTCCCCCCCTCAGCCACGACCCCACACACAGAGCAGAGGGGAGGGGACACACACACACACACAGAGATCACTCCTCTCCTCTCTTCTCTCTCTCTCTCCTCGTAAAGTAAAAAAAAATGGGCAGAGCAGCTTTTTCCTTCTTCTTCTTTCTTTTCTTTCTCTTTCTCTCTCTCTCTCTCTCTCGCCCCACACAACGAGATCTTGGGCAGATCCCTCGTTTTCTCTTCTCCTTGTAAAGTATATATATAAGAAAAAAAGGTAGAGCAGTTTTTTTCCCCCTCTTCTTTCCTTCCTTCTTTCTTTCTCTGTCTCTCTCTCTCTCTCTTCTGAACGAGATCTTTCTTCCTTTTCCAGTCAGAGGCTCTTCTCTCTCTCTCTCTCTCTCTCACACACACACACACACAGAGTTTGTTTGTTGGGTGGGGGTTAGAAAAGATCCACACACACGTCCAAGACAGGAAAAAAAAACTCTTCTCTCTCTCTCAGTCCCTCTCAGACTCAGTGCTGCCAACACCGTCCGCTTTCTATAATGCAGCCAAGAAAACAGAGAGAGAGAGAGAGACAGATAAGAAAGAAGGGGAAATGTTTTAAACCTAGATATTCATAATAATCCTTGCAAGTGACACGGCGCCGTATCATGCCGTTGAGACCGCATTGCAAAGTGGGGTGACTGTGTGTTTTCTGGGCAAAATGCGGTTAAAAGTTGCGCACAGCAATGTTCCACAAACAGCCGTAATAGATTGTTGGAACGGCATGTGAACTCTCTCCCTGGAAGGACACATCCTGCTTATCTAACCCCGGAGAGTATTGGGCGCAGGTCGGGAAGAGCCAAGGTTTTTAGGGATCCCAGAATGTGTGCTGTGGTAACCGCCCGAATCTAAGCAGCTAAAAGTGAATAATGATAATAATCAACCTTACATTTGATACGGCGCCTTATCGCGTTGTTGAGACGTTTCAAAGCGCTTCACAGAATATACTGTAAAGCGAATTGACTGCATATTTTGTGGGCGAATATGTGGCAGCCAATTGTGACCCGCAAACAATCGTGGATCAACTGACTAAATTCTTGTTTTATTTTGGAGGGATTATTAACCCAAGAAAGCAATCTGCCAATCGACTAACAACCGGGTTCCTACCTACTGCTTGATAAACAGAGGCGTGTTGAGTGAGGAGAACTTCCCTAAGGTTTTGCCCTGCCCAGGAATCAAACCCAGGTCCTCTCACTTGCAAGAGAAGTGCACTAACTACTGAGCTATGGGACTTTGAGAGCGCAGCCTGGCCAGCTTTACTGCTGCTTGTACAGCTAGGACCACCCAACTTGTTAGGGCTTTGGCTGCAGAGTTAACAGGAGCTGAGAGGGATGACTCTCTGCCCCAGTCTGCCCTTCCAGGCTGGGGTGGGCTGGGGGTGGGGGTGGCGGTGAATGGGACTGAAAGGATAGACCTCAAGGGAACTGGCACAGGCACAATGGGCCAAATGGCCTTTCTCCGGGCTGTAAATTGAAGTGGTTGTATGCGAGGGGGCGCGGGAGAGCGAGAGCGAGTGTGATGTTCTTGACGTGCGTCAACCAATGAGATACTGAGAGCTGGTGGAGGAAACTGTTTCGAAGTAACTTCCTTAGAGACGGGGAAACCACGAACAGACAGAACAGGAAAACAAAGCGAATTTGACTCCATTACACGGCATCCGCCTCGCATCTCCCGCTCCACAGCACCCACCCCCATCTCGTTGCCCACTGCAAATCTGTTGACAGTTGACTCTCAGAGAGAAAGATAGAGAGAGAGAGGGAGGGTGTGTGTGAGAGGGGAAGGAATCAGTGATATCAGGGTCCCCAGGAAGGGTAGGGAGAAAGAAGAGAGAGCAAGCAACCTTTAGTGCAATGGGATGAGAAAACTCGCATATCTCTGAACTCCTGCGCTGACCTGACATACTTCCTGTTGTTCAGGTAAGTAACAATCTTAATAACTAGTATTTTGATTCTAATGTTTCGCTGTGAAGTGCAGTGACTGTGGGTTTTGTGGGCGAAACAAGTCCTTGCAAACAGCCGTGCAGCGAGTGATTTTATCTGGAGGGATTGTCGGCCAGGACAATGGGAGAGAGAGAGACTCCCTTGTCTTTTGCAATAGCACCGCGGGAGATCTTTAACGTCCATCTGAACAGGGCACAGAGCTGTGAGGTTTAATGCCTCATCAAAACGGCAGCACCTCTGACAATGCGCCACCCACCCCCCAGCTGCACTGGAGCGTCAGCTTAGACTATGCGATTCCAAGTCCCGATGTGTAGCTTGAACCCATAACTTCCTGACTCAGAGGCGAGAGTGTGAGTGACTGAGCCAGGCTGAGATCTTACACTATGCAAAGTGAAGTGTAGAGCACAGGTCCTCAGAGTGCGGATATCTGCCACAGGAGTGACATCAGCATCAGATGTCTCTAAGCAAGTCTGACACACACCTACACACACACACACTGAGGCACAACCTGACATACAGACTGATACACACACACAAACATGCACACATTCACATGCACGCGCGCACACACACACACATACATACGGGCACACTTATACAGACATGCATATATTCACACACACACACACATACAGTGACATGCACACATTGAGACAGACACACACTGACATTCACACTGTCACACACACTGACACACAATGGCACACATTCATAGAATCACAGAATATTACAGCACAGAAGATGGCCATTCAGCCCATCGTGTCTGTGCCAGCTCTTTGAAGGACCTATGCAATCAGTCCCGCTCCCATGCTCTTTACCCATATCCTTGCAAATTTTCCCCTTTCGGGTACCTTTTGAACATTGTCATTGAAGCTGCGTGTGTGTGAAGGCATAAAGTCCTCCACATTTGCTTACTATACTCAGTAATTCCCAATAAAATGCTTTGAGGCCTTTCATAGGATAGAACTATAGAACATTAGAGCGCAGAAGGAGGCCATTTGGCTCATCGTGCCTGTGCCATCTCTTTGGAAGAGCTACCGAATCAGTCCCACTCCCCTTCCTCATAACCCTGTACATGTTTTCTTTATTTGCACCTATCTACTCCTTTTTCAAACTTGTTATTGAATGTGTTCCAGCAGCCTTTCCCCTTTCAGGCGTTGCATTCCAGACCATAAAAACTCTCTTTGTAAAAAAACATTTCTCCAGATAATTATTTGGGGAGGACAAGTCTGCAGGGCTATGGGGAGAGCACGGGGCAGTGGGATTGATTTGGAAGCCTTTTTCAAAGAGCCGGCACAGATACAATGGCCCAAATGGCCTCCTTCTGTGCTCAATAATTCTATTATTCTATGATGATTCGTCATCGCCCCTCTGGTTCTTTTGCCAATTATCTTAAATATATGATATATACAAAAACACACATTGATGTACACACATACATTGACACAAAACACACAGCTCGCTCTGCCTGGAACACCTCCACACATTATGCTGAGGCTGAAAACACAGTCACTCCAGGTAACTAGTGACACTGATCAATAGAACACTTTTTATGCCTTCAAGATCCCAAAGCGCTTCACAGAATATACTGTAAATTGAATTGACTGTATATTTTGTGGGTGAAATATGGCATCCAATTGTGCACAGCAATGTCCCACAAACAGTCGTGGATTGAGTGACCAATTCTTTTGTAATTATTATTTTTTTAAGGAATTATTACACCTGAAAAGCAATCTGCCAATCAACTAACAACCAGGTTCATACTTACTGCTAGATAAACAGAGGCTTGTGGAGTAAGTCGCTTGCCTAACATTTTGCCTTGCCAGGAATTGAACCCAGGTCTCTCACTTACGAGGCGAGTGCTCTACTGAACTACAGCTCTCCACAGGAATTTTAGCAACTGCCTAAACTAACGTGGGGCTTGAACTCACATTCTTCTTAGAGGCAAGAACTCTACCACTGAGCCAGGCTGACACACATGTGTCTGTGTTATTTCTTTGCAGTGTGAGCAAGGAGCAGCTGTGAGCAAGTGGGATGGAGGCGAGGAAGACGAGTGATGCAGATACTGGGAGCCACCACCCCGAGGGTCCCAAGCCACAACCGGGGGAGACACAAACGGTTGACAGGGTGGGTAGAGGCATCCAGAGAACTGGCCATGTGGGGCTAAGTGAGGGAGATGCTCACTCTCAATGGGGGGTTGGGGACCAAGAGGAAGAAGAACAAGAGGAGGTGAGGGGCAATGAGAGGAGGGGAAGGGGCAACGAGAGGTGGGGTGGTGGTTGGGGAAGATGTGGGGTCTGGGAGCTCTATTTGGGGTTGGGGCTGGTTTGGGGTTGAGGCTGCGGTTGGTTTGAGGCTGGGGTTGGTTTAGGGGTTGGGAAGGAGTTGGTTTGGTGCTGCAAAGGTGGGTGGTTTGGGGTTGGAGAGGGGGTCGATTTGGAGTTGGAGAGGGGGTTGATTTGGAGTTGGGGCGGGGGTTGATTTGGAGTTGGGGCTGGGGTTGGTTTGGGGCTGGGGAGGGAGTTGTTTTGGTGCTGGACAGGGGATTGGTTTGGACCTGGGGAGGGGGTTGGTTTGAGGCTCGGATTGGTTTGGGGCTGGGGTTAGTTTGGTGCTGGGGTTTCTTGGGGTTGGTTTGGGGCTGGGGTTCGTCTGGGGCTGGGGGTTGGTTTGTGAATGGGGAAGGGTTAGTTTTGGGGCTGGAATTGGTTTGGGGTGGGGAATGGGTTTGGGTGTGGGGCTGGTTTGGGCTGGGGTTGATCTGAGGCTGGGGTTGGTTTGGGGTGGGAAATGGATTTGGTTTGAGGCTGGGATTCCTGTGGGGCTAGGATTCATTTGGGGCTGGGTGTGCTTTGGGGTTCGGAATGATTTGGAGCCGGGGAGTGGGTTGGTTTGGTGCCGGGGTTGGTTTTGGGCCGGGGTTGGTTTGGGGCCGGGGTTGGTTTGGAGCTTGGGTTGGTTTGCGGGGTTGGTTTGGGGCCGGAGTTGGTTTGGGACTGGGGAGACGTTTCGTTTGGGGCTGGGGAGGGGTTTGGTTTGGGGCTGGGTTATTTTGGGGCTTGGCATGGGGTTGGTTTGGGGAAGGGGTTGGTTTGGGGCTTTGGATTGGGTTGTTTTGTTGCTGGGGTTGGATTCGGATTGGGGTTGGTTTGGGGCCAGGGTTAGTTTGGGCTGGGGTTGGATTCAGCATGGGAGTTGGTTTGGGAGTGAGTTGGGTTGATGTCAGGCTGGGTTTGGTTTGGGGCTGGGTTTGATTTGGGGCCGGGGTTGGTTTAGGGCCAGGGTTGGTTTGGGGCCGGGGTTGGTTTGGGGCCGGGGTTGGTTTGGGGCCGGGGTTGGTTTGGGGCCGGGGTTGGTTTGGGGCTGGTGTTGGTTTTGGGCCGGTGTTGGTTTTGGGCCGGGGAGAAGTTTGATTTGGGGCTGTGACTGGTTTGGGGCCGGGGTTGGTTGGGCCTTGGAAGAGGTTCGGTGTGGGTCTGGGGCTTGGCCTGGGGTTGGTTTGGGGAGGGGATTGGTTTGGGGCTTTGGATGGGGTTGGTTTGTTGCTGGGGTTGGATTCGGATTGGGGTTGGTTTCGGGTGGGGGTTGGTTTGAGGTGGGGATTGGTTTGATGCTTGGGTTGGGTTGGTTTGGGACTAGGTTTGTTTTGTAGCTGGGGCTTGGTTTGGGCTTGGGGCTGTTTGGGGCGAGGGTTCATTTGGGGCTGGGACAGTTTGGGGTTGAGGTTATGGCTGATTTGAGGTTGGGGCTGGGTTTGATTTGGAGTTGCGGCTGTTGGGGTTGGGGCTATGAGCCTTGGCTTAGGACTGAGGAGGATGTTTGGTTTGGGGCTAGGGTTGGTTTGGTTTTTGGCAAGTATTGGCTAGGGTTTGGTATTGGTTTGGGGTTTGGGGGCTGGGTTTGGTTTGGGGCTAGGGTTTGTTTGGGGCTAGGGTTGGTTTGGGGCTAGGGTTGGTTTTTGGCTGGGGAGGTGGTTGGTTTGGGGCTGTGGAGCAGGCTAGTTTGGCTGGGTTTGAGGCTGATCCTGGAGTGGTTTTGAGGCTGGGGTTAGTTTGGGGCTGGGACTCGTTTGGGGCTGTGGTTGGTTTGGTGTTGGTTTGGGGCCGGGGTTGGTTTGAGGATGAGGTTGGTTTGGGCTTGGGGAAGTTTGCAGTTGAGGTTATGGCTGGTCTGGGGCTGGGTTTGGTTTGGAGTTGGGGCTGTTTGGGGTTGGGGTTACGGTTCATAGAATCATAGAATCATAGAATCGTACAGCACAAAAAGAGGCCAATCAGCCCATTTGGTTGGTTTGAGCCTGGGCCTGGGGCTCCGGAGGGTGTTGGTTTGGGGCTAGGATTAGTTTAGGTTTCAGAGAGTATTAGTTTTGGGGGTTGGGGGCTGGGTTTGGTTTGGGGCTGGGGTTGGTTTCGGTTTGGGGTTGGTTTGGGATTGGGGCTGGGGAGGATGTTGGTTTGAGGCTGGGGTTGGTTTGGGGCTGGGGTTGGTTTTTCTGTGGGGGTTTGCTTAGGAAGGGGGTTGGGACTGGCTCTAGTTTGGGGCTGGGGATGGGTTTGTTTTTGGTTTGGGGAGGGGTTTGTTTTGCGCAGGCGTTGTTGTGTGGCTGATGGGTGGGTTGGTTTGGGGCGCGGCCCTGGGCTTGTGTTGGTTTGAGACTCGGTTTGGGGATGGGGTTGGTTTGGGTTTGGGGCTATTTGGGGTTCGGTCTAGGGTCGGTTTGAGGCAGGGGCAGTTTGAAGTTGGGACTATTGCTGGTTTGGTCTTGGGGCTGGGGTTGGTTTGGAGTGGGTTTATTTGGGGTCGGGGCTATGGTTTGTTTGAGCCTAGGCTTGGGGCTGGGGAGGGTGTTGGTTTGGGGCTAGGGTTGGTTTGGGGCTGGGGCTGAGGTTGGTTTGGGGCAGGGGAGGCGATTAGTTTGCAGCTGGAGCAGGGTTGGTTTGGGGCTGGGGCTGTTTGGGGTTCGGACGAGGGTTGATTTGTGGCTAGGGAAGTATGGAATTTGGGCTATGGCTGGTTTGGGGTTCAGACTATGGTTGATTTGGGGCCATGGCTGGTTTGGGGTTCAGTCTATGGTTGATTTGGGGCTATGGCTGGTTTGGGGTTGGGGTTGGTGTGGGGCTGGGATTGGTTTGGGGTGGAGAATGGATTTGGTTTGGGTCTGTGATTGGTTTGCGGCTGGGCTGGTTTGGGGCCGGGGAGGAGTTTTGTTTGGGGCTGGAATTGGTTTGGGGCTGTATTTGGGGCTGGGGTTGGGGCTGTATTGGGGCTGGGGTTGGGCTGTATTTGGAGCTAGGGTTGGGCTGTATTTGGGGATGGGGTTGGGGCTGCATTTGGAGCTAGGGCTGCGGTTTGGGACGAGATGGAATTTGGGCCTGGGGTTGTGGCTGTGTTGGTCTGCGATGGTGTTATATTTGGGGCTGGGGGTGGCTCACCCTCTCTGACCCTCTGTTATAGATCGAGATCCATAGCCCGGAGCCGAGGGACTGGGAGAAGCTGCTGGACTTGCTTTGGAAGGATCAGATTCGGTGCCTCAATGACCATAGGACATGTCCCCAGGGTCGGGCATGGAACTCAGAGCCCAGCACTCCACGGGGAGAGAGGAGAGGTGTGTCACTGAGAGAGAGAGTGTGTCACGGAGAGAGAGAGAGATAGAGTGTGGGTTACTGAGAGACAGAGTGTATCATTGAGAAAGTGTGTGTTATGGTGACAGAGCCACTGAGATAGTCACTGAGAGTGTGTTCTTCAGTGTGTGTGTGTGTTCCTGTGTGTGCTTATTCCTGTGTGTAGATATGTTCTTCTGTGCATTCCTGTGTGTGTGCGTTTATGTGTGTGTTCATGTATGTGTGCGTTAATGTGCGTGTTCCTGTGTAGGTATGTGGTCCTGTGTGTCTGAGTTCCCGTGTGCCTGAGTTCCCGTGTGCGTGAGTACCTGCGTGCGTGTGTTGTCGTGTGTGTGGTCCTGTGTGTGTTCCTGTGTGTGTCTTTGTTCCTGTGTGTGTCTGTGCTTCTGTGTGTGTCTGTGCATCTGTGTGTGTCTGCTTCTGTGTATGTGTGTGTGTGTTCCTGTGTTTGTGTGTTGCTGTGTGTATGTGTATGTGTATGTGGGTGTACGTGTGTTACTGTGTGTGTGTTCCTCTGTGTGTGTTTGTTCCTCTGTGTGTGTGTGTTTGTGTGTTCCTATGTGTGTGTTCCTGTGTGTGTGTGTGTTCCCAGATTCATAGAATCATAGATCATAGAATGTTACGGCACAGAAGGAGGCCATTCGGCCCATCGAGTCTGTGCGGCTCTTTGACAGAGCAACTGACTTTTATTAACCCCACTCATCAGCTTTCTCCCCATAACTCTGCAAACCCGTCTTCTCCAGATACCTATCCAGTTCTCTCTTAAAAGCTGTTATCGAATCGGACTTCACTGCCCTTTCGGGCAGATCATTCCAAATTCTAACAACTCGCTGAGTAAAAAAATTTCTTCTAACCTCTCCTCTGCTTCTTTTGGTAGTTATCTTAAGACTGTGACCACAAGTCACAGACACACCTACCAGCGGAAACAGCTTTTCCTTATCTCGCCTGTCGAAACCTTTCATGATCTTGAAGACCTCTATCAGGTCCCCGCGTAACCTTCTCTGCTCTAATGGGAAAAGTCCTAACTTCTCCAGCCTGTCCTCATAGCTAAGGTTCCCCATTCCTGGTATCATTCTCGTGAATCTCCTCTGCACCCTTTCCAGTGCCTTAATGTCCTTCCTGAGGTAAGGTGCCCAGAACTGGACGCAGTACTCCAGCTGAGGCCTCACCAGTGTTTTGTATAGATTAACCATAACCCCTACTCTTATACTCTATGCCCCTACTAATGAAGCTCAGTACACCAAATGCCCTTTTTTACTGCCTTATCTACCTGCCCCGCTACCTTTAATGATTCGCTAACTTGAACACCCAGATCTCTCTGTACGTTCACCCCCTTAAGATTGAGCTCCAAGTCTATATTGCCTCCTATCATTTTTCCTATCTAAGTGTATCACCTCACACTTATCCACATTGAAATCCATCTGCGACATGTCAGCCCATTCCACCATTCTGTGTATGTCTGCTTGCAGTTGGTACAGTCCTCCTCACTATTTACTACCCGACCTAACTTTGTATCATCTGCAAACTTGGAAATAGTGCTCTCTGTGCCCAAGTCCAGATCATTAATATATATTAGAAAGAGCAGTGGTCTCAATACCGATCCCTGGGGGACACCGCTGCACACCTCCTTCCATCGCGAGAAACACCCATTAACCACCACCCTCTGTTTTCTGTCACTGAGACAGTTCTTAATCCAAACTGCCACTGTCCCCTTAATACCGTGGGCCTCTAATTTTTGTATTAATCTCTTATGCGGTACTGTGTCAAAAGCCTTTTTGAAATCCATGTAAATAACGTCCACCGCATTTCCCTCATCAACCCTCGCAGTCACCTCTTCAAAAAATTCTATTCGATTTGTGAGGCAAGATTTGCCTTTAACAATCCATGTTGGGGGTCACTAATTACCTCGTGTTCCTCTAAGTAGAGATTTATTTTGTCCCGGATTACGGTCTCCAGTAGCTTTCCTATTACCGAAGTTAGGCTGACTGGCCTGTAATGTCCGGGCTCGTCTTTCTTCCCCTTTTTGTAGAGTGGGGTAACATTAGCCACTCTCCAGTCTCTTGGCACCACTCCTGTGTCCAATGAAGATTGAAATATAATGGCCAAAGCCTCAGCTATTTGAACCCATATCTCCCACAGCAACCTTGGGTGAAACCCATCTGGTCCTGGTAACTTATCCTGTGTGTGTGTGTGTTCCTGTGTGTGCGTGTGTATTGCTGTGTATGTGCGTGTGTGTTGCTGTGTATGTGCATGTGTGTTTCTGTATGTGTGTGTGTTTCTGTGAGTGTGTTTCTGTGTGTGTTGCTCCTGTGTGTGTGTGTTTTTGTGTGTGTTGCTGTGTGTGTGTGTGTTGCTGTGTGTGTATGCGTATTCCTGTGTATGCGTATTCCTGTGTGTGTGTTCCTGTGTATGTTCCTGTGTATGTGTGTTCCTGTGTGTGTTCTCTGATCTCCCTCCTCTTTTCCAGGTATCTTCTGCTCAGTTGCCTCATTGCAGACAGAGAAGCTGTTTGAGTTGGTCCTGATTTCTCAGAGTAGGCGGCTGAGCGACCAGAGAACGGAATCCAGGCAGAAAAACCCTGCAGCCCCCACCATCTCCTTCCACCAGCGACAAGGGTATCAGCTGACTCCAGCAGAGAGAGGAGGCGTCCCAGCAGAGGGAGGGGTGGTCCCAGCAGAGGGAGGGGTGGTCCCAGCAGAGGGAGGGGTGGTCCCAGCAGAGGGAGGGATGGTCCCAGCAGAGGGAGGGGTGGTCCCAGCAGAGGGAGGGGTGGTCCCAGCAGAGGGAGGGGTGGTCCCAGTAGAGGGAGGGGTGATCACAGCAGAGGGAGGGGTGGTCCCAGCAGAGGGAGGGGTGGTCCCAGCAGAAGGAGGGATGGTCCCAGCAGAGGGAGGGGCGGTCCCAGCAGTGGGAGGGGCGGTCCCAGCAGAGGGAGAGTCGGCCCCAGCAGAGAGATCAGTGCTAGCAGAAAGGGGGGCTGTCCCTATAGTGAGAAGGGGGATGCCAGCAGAGAGGGCAGAGCCAGCGGATGAACTGTACAACACCATCATGGCACATCAGGTAATGGTCAGGGAATTGG